ATTTAAAATTCTTTGGAATTCTTTCTTGAAGTTACGGAATTGTATGCACTTTCTTCAAATTATTATGCTCTTTCATGTTATTACCCGGAGTTTGAAGAATTATTTTACAATTACTGAAATTCGCGGTAATTACTAGAATTTCAATGGTTTTGGAAGTATTCATAATTGGAATTATATGTATTTATTGGCAACTTCTGGACTTTTTTGGAAGATATTTATTTTTCGAATTTTTAAAATTGTATGCTGAAATTGTTGAAATGTATTAAAATTCTTTGGAATTTCCTGGAAATCTTTTCAAAAATTCCAGAATTATACTTACTCTCTTCACAATATTATGCTCGTCGACATTATTACTCAGGATATAAAGAATTACTTTAGAGTTACTGAAATTCACGTTTTGGAACTATTCGTAATGTGGACTTTTTTTAAGAAGATATTTAGTTTTCCAATTCTTAAAATTCCTTTGTGCATTGAAATTATTGAAATTGATTTAAAATTCTTTGAAATTCCCTGGAATTCTGTTTGGAAGTTCCGGAATTATACCTTAGTTACTTTCTTCAAATTATTGCGCTCTTTCGAATTATTATCCGGAATTTGAAGAATTATTCTAAAATTACTGAAATTCGTGGGAAATACTAGACTTCTTTAGAAAATTTATAGTTATCTAGTTTTTAAAATTACGTTGTACAGTGAAATTTGCTTAAAATACTTTGGAATTCGCTGGAATTCTTTGTAAAATTTCCAGAATTATATTTACATTCTTCAGATTATTTTGCTCTTTTACATTATCCGGAATTTGAAAAATTATTTTGGAATTGCTAAAATTCGTAGGAATTACTAGAATTTCAATGGTTTTGGGGCTATTCATAATCAGAAATACATTATTGCCAACATTGGAAATCATGAACTCCTAGACTTTTTTTAGAAGATATTTAGTTTTCGAATTCTTAAAACTGTATACTGAAATAGTTGAAATCTATTTAAATTCTTTGGTATTCCCCGGAATTCTTTTCAAAAATTCCGGAATTATACTTCTTTTCTTCACATCATTATGCTCCTTGGCATTATTACCCGGAATTTGACGAATTATTGTAGAATTACTGAAATTCACCGGAATTACCCGAATTTCAATGGATTTAGAACTCTCCGCAATCTAATTTTTTTAGAGCATTTAATTTTTGAATCCTTAAAATTACTCTCTACACGGAAATGATTGAAATAGAAAAATATTTATTAATAGAATTTCAATGGTTTTAGGACTATTCATAATCAGAAATATATTATTGCCAACATTGGAAATGATCAACTCCTAGACTTTTTTTAGAAGATATGTATTTAGTTTTCGAATTCTTAAAACTGTATACTTATTGAAATAGTTGAAATTTATTTAAATTCTTTGGTATTCCCCGAAATTCTTTGCAAAAATTCAGGAATTATACTTCTTTTCTTCACATCATTATGCTCCTTGGCATTATTACCCAGAATTTGACGAATTATTGTAGAATTACTGAAATTCACCGGAATTACCCGAATTTCAATGGATTTAGAACTCTCCGCAATCTAATTTTTTTTAGAGAATTTAATTTTTGAATCCTTAAAATTACTCTCTACACGGAAATGATTGAAATAGAAAAATATTTATTAATAGAATTTCAATGGTTTTGGGACTATTCATAATCAGAAATATATTATTGCCAACATTGGAAATAATCAACTCCTAGACTTTTTTTAGAAGATATTTAGTTTTCGAATTCTTAAAACTGCATACTGAAATAGTTGAAATCTATTTAAATTCTTTGGTATTCCCCGGAATTCTTTTCAAAAATTTCGGAATTATACTTCTTTTCTTCACATTATTAATGCTCCTTGGCATTATTACCCGGAATTTGATGAATTATTGTAGAATTACTGAAATTCACCGGAATTACCCGAATTGCAATGGATTTAGAACTCTCCGCAATCTATTTTTTTTTAGAGCATTTAATTTTTGAATCCTTAAAATTACTCTCTACACGGAAATGATTGAAATAGATTTAAAATTCTTTGAAATTCTCTGGAATTCTGTTTGGAAGTTCCGGAATTATAGTTACTTTCTTCAAATTATTGCGCTCTTTCGAATTATTATCCGGAATTTGAAGAATTATTTTAGAATTACTGAAATTCGTGGGAAATATTAGACTTCTTTAGAAAATATGTAGTTATCTGGTTCTTAAAATTACGTTGTACAGTGAAATTTGCTTAAAATCCTTTGGAATTCGCTGGAATTCTTTGTAAAATTTCCAGAATTATATTTACATTCTTCAGATTATTTTGCCCTTTTACATTACCCGGAATTTGAAAAATTATTTTAAAATTACTAAAATTCGTAGGTATTAGTAGAATTTCAATGGTTTTGGGACTATTCGTAATCAGAAATATATTATTGCCAACATTTGAAATGATCAACTCCTGGACTTTTTTTAGAAGATATTTAGTTTTCGAATTCTTAAAACTGTATGTATAAATTGTTGAAATTGATTTAAATTCTTTGGAATTCTCTTCATAAATTCCGGAATTACACTTCCTTTCTTGACATTATTATGTTCCTTGGCGTTATTACCCGGAATTTGGCGAATTATTTTAGGTTTATTGGAATTCGTGGGAAATGTTAGATTTTTCTAGAAAATATTTAGTTACCTGATCCTTAAAATGACTTTGTACACTGAAATTTGTTTAAAATGCTTTGGAATTCGCTAAAATTCTTTGTAAAACTTCCGGAATTATGCTTACATTCTTCACATTATAAAGATCTTTAACATTATTACCCGGAATTTGAAAAATTATTTTAAAATTACTGAAGTTCGTGGGAATTACTAAAATTTCAATTGTTTTGGAGCTATATATGTGTGAAATTATATTATTCGCAACATTGGAAATGATCAACTCCTGGACCTTTTTTAGAAGACATTTAGTTTTCGAATTTTTAAGATTGTATACTGAAATTGTTGAAATTTATTTAAATTTTTTGGAATTCTTTCCAGAATTTCCGGAATAATACTTTCGTCACATTATTCCGCTCCTTAGCATTATTACGCGAAAAATTATTGTAGAATTACTGAAATTCGCCGGAATTACTCGAATTTTAATGGATTTGGAACTATCCGGAATCAAATTTTTTTCTAGAACTTATTTAGTTTTTCGAATTCTTAAAATTACTTTCTACACGGAAATGATTGAAATTTATTTAAAATTCTTCGAAATTCTCTAGAATTCCGTTTAGAAGTTCCGGAATTATACTTACTTTCTTTAAATTATTATGCGCTTTCGCAATATTATCCGGAATTTGAAGAATTATTTTAGAATTACTGAAATTCGTGGGAATTACTATACTTTTCTAGAAAATATTTAGTTACCTGATTCTTAAAATTACTTTGTGCACTGAAATTTCCTTAAAATCACTGGAATTCTTTGTTAAAAATCCGGCATTATACTTGCATTCTTCACATTAATATGCTCTATGACATTATCACCCGGAATTTGCCAAATTACGTCAAAATTACCGAAATCGTGGGAACCTAAAAACTTAAAAATTAATGCTTTTTTTTTAACAAATATACGAGGTGAAAAACAAAACTCTTAATTTTTAATATACTTAGGTACTAAAATTTTATGATTTTGACGTATTATTTAACATCATCATGGTTCTGTTTCAACTAGATCTATAACATCTAGATGTCTAATTGGAGAAAATATTTCTCTATCTACTTTTCGATTGTCAGAATGTGCTATAACCTATAACTAATCTTCTTATTATTTTATTGTTTTTGAATAAAATATAAAGCCATACTCAAAGATTACTCTCTGATTTCATACGCTTTATAACTATTCATGATTTCCTCATTCTCTGCAAAAATGGGTGACATCAACTTAAAAATGATTAATTCCTCAATTTATCACAAGATAATTACTTATTTAGTTGTTAGAATTTTTCGAATTCTTAAAACTACGTACTGAGGTACCGAAATTTTAATTAATTGATCATTTTTAAGGTGACATCATCTTAAAAATGATCAGTTCCCCAATTTATCACAAGATAAGTATTTATTTGGTTGTTAGAATTTTTCGAATCCTTAAAATTACGTACTGAGGTAGCGAAATTTTATGATTTTGATATTCTGCTTCCACTGTATTTAGATTGTATCGAACTGTTTGGAAAAAATATCTATCTAATTTTCGAGAGTCAGAGTGTGTTACAGAATGTAGTAAACGTTAACTTTGTTACTACTTTGTTGTATTTGAGTAAAATATGAAGCCACAGTCAAAAATTACTATGTAATTTGAGTTATCCATTATGCATTATGTAAAAATAGGATAACAATAAATTTTAGGAATACCATTTTTCAATATTACTAAGTTCATTATTCGTTTCAGAAATTTATTGAAAATATTTGCGAAGAAAGAATTCCTAAAATTGTTTGTCACTGTTTTTTTCAGAACTACATATATATAAGGAACATTTTTCAACCAAAACTAGTGATTAATTTTCTGCAGTGATGAATAGATGAATACAATTTTTTAAATGTTTCTTTATACATGTAAAATCGAGTTAATTTGTATATAAATTTGAAATTGATGTTTTTATTTCTTTTGCTTATATGTAAATATAGTCTTTAATTAAATGATTGTCATCTTTGTTTTACATAAATACCACTTTTCATTTGAATTAATAAACTGTCAGTTATACAGTCTAGGGTGCTTTGCAAATTTTTCCAGTTAAAAGTAGGAGGTACGGAATGTCATATAATGACTGTCACGTCAAAGTAGGCGTTATTTTTGCCGCCTTGTCGAAACGGCAATTATAATCAACTTGTCACTTTGACGTTACGTCCATCTATGCCTAAAAGTCAACGTTACGATGCGAGTGTGCAGCAAATTTGACCACTTTTTGAAATTTCCAATGACAAATTTCTTTCAACTCTGATTTTCAGCGCACGACGTTCGAAACTTTTTCATCGACTCACCTTGTGCAGATATCCCGTCACAAGCCACAATCAAATAGATAAAAACGCAAAAAACGGCACTTTCGTAAGTCTGAACCGACATCATGGTAAAGCACGTGAACGCGCGTTTGCAGGGGAAACCGTCACACACTCATATCGACGACTGTTGAGCGACTGAATTTCTAAAAGTAAACAAGAAGAGACAGAAGTCGTGAGCTGGTGGGATGCCGAGAGCTGGTATTCAAATGCAGTGGTGGAGCGGGGAGAATCCTGATTCAAAACCACCCACAAGTGCGAATAACAACCAGAATGTTAATAAATAAACTTTTTTTAGTGGCGCTTTATACGGCTTGTCATGTTGCAAAATTTCTTTATTGAACAATAAAAAATGGCTGTTGCGAGTTTGGCAACCTGTTGCCGGATGTTTTTATTTTTAGGGATTGCACTTGACTTTTGAACATTGTTGGAGCTGTCGGAGGTTCGATAGTGAACTATGTGACAATGTACGTTTTAAATACGAGAACGGGTCTGCGGTAACAACGTGGTGCCTGGGGGCATAAAACAACAAAGAAATATAATTGTAGTTTATTTTATGTGACAATATCTTATGTACATAATTTTACATAATTATTTTTATTTACATAGCTTGTAATTTGCATTGACAGTTGGACGGCTCTGTGGTATGAACAGTGATTTAAATTAAAATTTTGCTTGGTTTATCACTAGCGTTATTTATGTGACGACTACTTAAATAACCCTATATATCACACGGATATTTCTAGGTGTCAAATCAACAGACTTTATAATTGTTAAAATTATTTTTAGACCCCACCACTAACCCGGAAATGACCGCCACTCAGATAAGATTTCTATTAAGTAATGATATGCAACTTTTGAGAGAGCAAAAAAAACACCATTCGAGGCAGCTATGGTTTTTGAAGATTCTATTAAAGACAAACCTTCAAAAATCAAGTGTAGCGTGACTACCGACTAGGCTCCCATCTCTTGAAAAACTACCTGCACTACTCTGATCTACTTGTGCTAACCTACTCTGACTAATATGATCAGACTGTTCGTGAAACTTACGAACAATATAACATGTTTTGACCACACAACTTTTTGAATTTTGACAGTTATTAAATTGTAAATGAAAATGAAACAAACGGGCTGAAAGAAGAAAACTCTGTGGAAGAAATATTTAAAAAGCACTAGAGAACGTCAAAAGTAGATGACGAAATATTAACTAGATGAAAAGATTATTACTATAATCCGAAAACAAAGAGACAGACAGACAAACAAACAACACAGTCACGGGATTCAGAGATTTTTTTTCTAATTACTTCAAAAACAAGACAAAAGATTCCCGAAATTGTTACAAATTATGTACTTCAAAAACCAAACACAAGGGGTTCTTGAGATTCTTTCAAACTACTTTAAACCCAAAACAAAAGGGGTCCCCAAGATTCTTTCTAACTACTTCAAAAACCAGAGACAAAAGGTTCGCGAGACTTTTTCAAACTCTGTACTTAAAATTATTAGATTATTTTAAACCACTTGCAAAACCAGACATGATGGATCCCCGAAATTTTTTTAGACTACTCAAAATAAAAAAGGTCCATAAAATTCTTTCAAACTACTTCAAAAACAAAACAAAAGAGATTCCCGATATTCTTTGAAACTACTTTAAAAACTAGACACAAGATGCCTTGGAGATTCTTTCAAAATACTTCAAAAGCAAAACAAAACAGGTCCCCGCGATTCCCTCATACTTCAAAAACTAGAGACAAAAATTCCCGAGATTCTTACAAACTACAAGTACATCAAAAATCGGACACAAGGGATCCCTGAGATCCTTTCAAACTACTTCAAAAAAAAAAAAACACACACGGAATCCCCGAGATTCCTTCAAACTAGTTCAAAAACAAAACATAAAGGGTACCCAAGATTTTTTTAAAACTGCTTCAAAAACCAGGCACAAAGAATACCCAAGATTTTTTCAAACTACACAAACAAAACAAAACAGGTCCCCGAGATTTCTTCAAAATAACTTTCTTCCAAAACAAAAGTGTCCCCAAGAATTTTTCGAACTACTTCAAAAACCAGGTATAAAGAATCTCCAAGATTTTTTCAAACTACTTCAAAAACAAAAGAAATAGGTTGCCAAGATTCTTTCAAACTACTTAAACATCAAACAAAAGAAATCTCCGAGATTCCTTCAAACTTCTTTAAAATCCAGAGACAAAAATTCTTGAGATTCTTACAAACTACTTCAAAATCCGTACACAAGGGATCCTCGAAATTCTTTCAAACTACTTCAAAAACCAGGTATAAAGGACACCCAAGATTCTTTCATAATACTTCAAAAACAAAACTAAGGGAGTTCTGGGGATTCTTTGAAACTACTCGTACTTTAAAAACCAGATACAAGGGGTTTTAAGATTCGTTCCAACTACTTCTAAAACAAATCAAAAGGGGTCCACAAGATTCCTTCAAATTACCTCAAAAACCAAACACAAGATGCCCTCGGGATTCTTTCAAACTACTTCAAAAATAAAACCGAAGTGGTTCCCGAGATTCCTTGAAATTACTTTAAAAAAAAAGACAACGGATCCTCAAGATTCTTTCAAAAGAAAAGTGTCCCCGAAATTCTTTCAAAACTACTTCAAAAACCAGACACAAAGAATACCCAAAAGCCTTTCAAATTACTTCAGAAACAAAACTAAGGGGGTTCTGGAGATTCTTTGAAACTACTTCAAAAACCAGGCACAAGGGATTCCTAAGAATTTTTCCATATACTTAAAAAACTAGACATAAGGAATCTCCAAAATTTTTCAAACTACTTCAAAAACAAAAGAAATCAATTGCCAAGATTCTTTCAAACTACTTCAAAAGCCAAACACAATGAATTCCCGAGATTCTTTCAAACTACTTAAAAGTCAAAACAAAAGAAGTCCCCGAGATACTTTCAAACTTCTTTAAAAACCAGAGACAAAAATTCCCGAGGTTCTTACAAACTATTTCAAAAATCGTACACAAGGGATCCCCGAAAATTTTTTCAAACTACTTCAAAAACAAAACATAAAAAGTCCCTAAGATTCTTTTAAAACTACTTCAAAAACCAGACACAGTGGATTCCAGAGATTCTTTTAAACTACTTCAAAAACAAAATCAAAGGACTTTACGAGATTCCTTCAAACTACTTCAAAAACCATACACAAAATGTTTCCAAGATTCTTACAATCTACTTCAATAACTAGCCACTCAGGATACCCAAGATTCTTTCAAAATACTTCAAAAAAAAAACAAAAGAGGTCCCCGAGATTCCTTCAAACTACATACTCCAAAAACTAAAGACAAAAATTCCCGAGATTCTTTCAAACTACTTCAAAAATAAAACAAAAAGAGTCCCCGAGATTCCTTCAAACTACTTCAAAAACAAAACAAAGGATACCCAAGATTTTTTTAAAACTACTTCAAAAACCAGGCACAAAGAATACCCAAGATTCTTTCAAACTACGTCAAAAACAAAACAAAACAGGTCCCCGAGATTTCTTCAAAATAACTTAAAAAAAACAACGAATCCTCAAGATTCTTCCAAAACAAAAGTGGTCCCAAGAATTTTTCCAACTACTTCAAAAACCAGGCATAAAAAATCTCCAATATTTTTTCAAACTACTGCAAAAACAAAAGAAATAGATTGCCAAGATTCCTTCAAACTAATTCAAAAGCCAAACACAATCAATCCCCGAGATTCTTTCAAACTACTTAAAAATCAAAATAAAAGAAGTCCCCTAGATTTCTTCAAACTTCTTTAAAATCCAGAGACAAAAATTCCCGAGATTCTTACAAACTACTTCAAAAACCGTGCACAAGGGATCCCCGAAATTCTTTCAAACTACTTCAGAAACAAAACATAAAGGGTCCCCAAGATTCTTTTAAAACTACTTCAAAAACCAGGCATAAAGGATACCAGGGGTTTTAAGATTCGTTCCAACTACTTCTAAAACAAAACAAAAGGGGTCCACGAGATTCCTTCAAATTACTTCAAAAGCTAAACACAAGATGCCCTCGAGATTATTTCAAACTACTTCAAAAACAAAACAAAAGTGGTTCCCGAGATTCCTTCAAATTACTTAAAAAAAAGACAACGAATCCTCAAGATTCTTTCAAAACAAATGTATCCCCGAAGTTCTTTCAAACTACTTACTTCAAAAACCAGGCACAAGGGATCCCCAAGAATTTTTTCAACTACTTCAAAGACCAAGCATAAGCAATTCCCAAGATTCTTTCAAAACTACTTCAAAAACCAGACACAAAGAATACCCAAGACTCTTTCAAATTACTTCAGAAACAAAACTAAGGGGGTTCTAAAGATTGTTTGAAACTTCTTTAAAAACCAGACACAAGGGGTTCCAAGATTCTTTCAAACTACTTCTAAAACAAAACAAAAGAGGTACCCCAGATTTATTCAAATTGCTTAAAAAAAGACGAGGGATCTCCAAAATTCTTTCAAACTACGGCAAGAACAAAACAAAAGTGATTCAGAGATTCTTTTAAACTGATTCAAAAACCAGGAGCAAGAGGCCCTCGAGATTCTTTCAAACTACTTCAAAAACAAAACAAAAAAGATCCCCGAGATTCCTTCAAATTAATTTAAAAAAATAGATAAGGATTTCTCAAGATTCTTTCAAAACAAAAGTGTTCCCGAAATTTGTTCAAACTACCTACTTCAAAAACCAGGCACAAGGGATTCCTAAGAATTTTTCCACATACTTAAAAAACTAGATATAAGGAATCTCCAAGATTTTTCAAACTACTTCAAAAACAAAACAAACAGATTCCTAAGGTTCTTTCAAACGACTTCAAAAGCCAGATACAAGGGATTCCCGAGATTCCTTCAAACTACTTCAAAAACAAAACACAAAGGGTCCCCGAGATTCTTTCAAAACTACTTCAAAAACAAGGCACAAAGGCTACCCAAAATTCTTTCAAACTACTTCAAAAACTAAACTGCTTTGATGATTTTCATTCGGTTTTTGAAGATTTTTGGTATCTGTTGATGGTTGTTTGATGTTTTTATTTTTGATGTTTTTTTTGGTGGTTTCACATAAAATTCAGTCAAAACGTGAACAAAAACATAATTTCTAAACAAAGTTTGATGTTTTTTGATGTTTTATTTTTCTTTTTTAATGCTCTTTGTTTCTTGCTTTTTATGCTGTTTGGTGTCTGTTGGTGCTTGTTTAATTGTATATTTTTTGATGGGTTTTTGGTATTTTCACATAAAATTCAACTCAGGTCAACCGAGGACTAGACGATGACAATCGACATGTGCCAAGTACGACACTACCCGAGATCAGCTCAACAGAGGATAAGACGATGACCGACCTCAGAGATCAATGAACGATCGATAAAAAGTAATGGGGCTGCTGGACCAGTTTGACCTCATTTGACCTGGTCTAGAAGCCCCACTATATAACTACACAAGAGCCCCCCCCCCATTATTTCAAATTACTTCCAAACCAAAACAAAAGGGGGTTCCTAGATTTTTTCAAACTACTTCAACACGAGGCAAGGAATTCCCGAGATACTTTCAAACTACTTCAAAAACCAGACACAAGCGATCCTGAAGATGCTTTAAAACTACTTCAAAACCAAAATAAAAGAGGTCCCCGAAACTCTTTCAAACTACTTCAAATATCAGACACAAAAGATCTCGGAGATTCTTTCAAACTACATCAAAAACAATACACAATGGGTTGTGGAGATTCTTTCATTTTACTTTATTTTAAAAAACACAAGAAGTCCCCGAGATTTGTTTAAACTACTTCAAAAACAAAACAAAATGGGTGCCAGCAATTTCTTTAAGCTACTTAAAAACCAAGCACAAGAGATTTTCGGAGATTTAAAACTATTTCAAAAATCTGGCACAAAGGGTCTCCGATATTCTTTCAAACTACTTGCCACACCAAAACAAAAGAGGTCTCCGAGATTCTTTTAAACTACTTCAATAACCAGACGCAAGAAGTGCCCGAGATTCTTTCAAACTATTTTAAAAACAAAAGCGGTTCCCGAAATTCTTTCAAATTATTTCAGAAACAAGACAAGGAATCCCAAGATTCTTTCAAACTACTTCAAATACCAGACACAAGGAGTCTCCGAGATTGTTTTAAACCTACTTCAAAAACAAAACACAAGAGGTCCTCGAGATTCCTGCATGTACTCCAGAAATAAAATATATACAAACGGTCCCCGAGATTCTTTCAAATTACTTTAAAGACAAAAAACAAGAGCAGGGGCTGTCTGGAAATCGCCGATCCGAATTTTTCCCGCGCAGGTCCCATCCGCCCCTGAAAACTATAGAAAGACATGAAACAGAAGAACAAAATAATGAAAAAGAGGAAATCAAATTACAAGAAGTGGAAAGTATATTAAATGCAGTCCAAATAAGCGAAGTACAATCAAAGAAATCTAGTTTCGCCAACGCCAACATTGAAGCTGAAAACTAAATCATAGCTTACGAAATTGAAATACTGTGGAAGCTAGAGAAAAACTGGAACAGTGATGCTCCATCATACCCAAGCATGAAGATATTGTTATGCATCCTGTCATGGACTAAAGTAGGACTGGTTGCCTACCGTTAAACTGTTTAGTTATATCACAGTATTGATATCTATACTGTGGTTATATTGCACAAAATGTTGGTTAGGCGGACATGCACAAAATAACATGTCGAGGTAAGGAACTTATCACTTATCACATTTTATTACAAAATATATACAAATTTATTTGTTCCTACATTATTATTGATTGTGTGAAGATGGAGACGAAGGTTCTAACAGCGACTGCGTCTCCTGATCTTTTGCTTCTCTACAATAAAAAATAACAAATTAAATAGAATATAACGGAAGTCTGTAATGTAATAAAAGTGACATTTCAGGAGTATCATTTCAAGTGTTCCAGCATTGCGTTAATATAGTTTCGTATAGGCAACCCAATTAACACACATTATTTTGTCAGTAAATACTGAAAGCACCGGCTGACAATTACTAAATTATTGGCAGCAATGTTAGCATGCTAAAACGAATCAGAATTTGATATTTGCCGAGTTAATGACTAAAATTTAAATTAAAATCATGTATGCAGCCATAAAATTTTAAATATGTTGCCAACCTGACAACAAAAATTAGAAACATTATTTATTAGTCACTCAGTAATAAAATCAAACGAACCAGTCTGCTTAACACATTTGAAAATATATCAACTAAAATACCCGCAACAATTCTCACTGCTCTCTTTTGTAATTTAAACAAATTGAAAGATGACGAGATCCCCAAATTAATAGCAAACTATAAATTGAATAATCGTCTTCAAGGTCTACGTCTATAGTCGGAGACGTTTGCATGTCTCAAAACCCTAATTTAAATTCCAAAATTTTGACAGTGTCGTAGTAGAGGTGGGACGGGTAGTAACTATTCGTTACAAAGTATTCGGTACACGATGAGACCCGAACTACCGAGTACCGAAGTTGAAAAGTAATCGTTACTATTCGTCAATGATTACTGATCATTTCATGATTTCGAGTATGCATTCTGGACTCAAATACTAAGGAATCGAGAACCGATTGCCGAAATACCGAGAACTACCGACCTCCTAAATCTATAAATCAAATACCCTTACTTTTATTTACTAACACTTCGCTTTCAAGTTGAGTTGAATGTTGAATATAGAAAAAGGAATAAGTTAAAAATAATGCGGCCTTTTGTTAGTTCGGGCCTTCGGGCTTAACTCTTGATTACTCTCTAACAAAAATTTAATGAAGTAACTAAAGTTACTAAATAATAATAGATTTATAAAGTGAGTTTTTTGTTTTTGTTTTTTTTTTTATTCTATGTAATACATATTATTTGATTTATTTTTGTATTTTTTACGATTTAAATATATTTTTTTTATCATTTCATAAATTATTAGATATTTTCATACCGCAATAAAACCAAACCAAAGCGAGTTTCACTGAGTAATCAATACCCGAAGTAACGATTATAAATAACGATTACTTTTTTAAAAAGTAACGAATACGTACGAGTACACCAAAGTAACGATATTTCCCATCTCTATGTCGTAGTTTAAGTTTTAAAAGCGTTGCATTGCAATATTCTCAATATTTGCTAATCAGGTAAATAAATATATTAACATTATTGTGCGATCTTGAGATTTACAAATGTCGCTGATAGTATACCTACCTATTTAAACAAAAGCGAATTTATTTAACACTTCCATAAAATGTAGCAAATATGTATAATATCACAAACGACTAAATATAGCCTAAAAAATTAAAAGTTATTTTAGACACCGTTGATAGTATTTTCCCGACGGGTGTAAGGTCATTAGTTATCGGAATTACCCAACAACTTAGTGTCACTAAAACCGCAGCTCATCATCCACCGAATTTATTGCAAAATGTTTCTGTTCCAAGTTGGTTTGTTAGCTCTATTGTGTTTTGTAAATATCCAGTTGATAAATAGCTCCTGCCAAAACTCCTTTGTTGTGATATGTGACAATTTATCAGATGTTCCGTACAACCCAAAGAGGAAAACATGGAGTGAACTACTAATTCAACAAAAAGACTACAATGACGATAAACCTCGCTACACATTAACATCGCTACAACTAAACCGCGACCTATCCAATTTAAAGTGGTTAATAATCATCCAACAGTTATCACAAATACAAAAGAATGCCTTTACTTACTGCAAAAATTTACAACAACTGATTCTCTATGGAAACAACTTGCCAACTATAAAAAAACAAACGTTTGTTGGCTTTCGGAATTTACTGAAACTAGCTCTGGAGAACAACAATATTGACCACCTGGAAAAGAACGCTTTTGTTTTATCAACAATTGAAGTGCTCGATCTCTCCTATAATCAGATACAATTACTACCAACAGATTTGTTTAAAAAATGTAAAATAACTACATTAAAAATCACTAACAACAGACTGTGGAATGTAGAATTATATTCCCTCCCACGAGATTTGAAGAATCTTCATTTGGACGGTAACAGTTTGAATTCTCTACCGCAAGAAATCAACAACCTTAAACAACTGGAGGAACTTACAGTCAGCAACAACAAGCTGGACAACGTTCCAAATCTCGATCAACTTACGTCACTAAAAAAGCTCGATCTTTCTTTCAACGGGATTCAAACAGTCAGTTCAGAGTTCAACAGTTTACGAAACTTAAAATATCTGGATTTGAGCAGCAATAAAATAGAAAAGTTTATTTTCACCGCACCGTTTATTCAGAATATTAAAGATCAGTTCTTCCTACTGCTGGCTCACAATAAGTTAAGAAATCTAGATTTACGTAGGATACAGAATACAGAAATCACTACAACACTGTTCGGAAATCCCTGGAATTGCAAATGCATGGACGCAATTTTTCAACTGATTCGCAACCACAATATCACCACAACAGCGTGTGATTCCCGGATTTTTGCTGCTGGAAAAAATCCATACTGCATAGTTGATGATAATCCCTCTTGTTCTGAAGAAAAGATTCCGAATTATGTGTTGGACAATTTCGTAAAGGCTTGCAACGACAGCATCTGCGATATATTTAACGATATAGACATTTTTGTTAAATAAGTACACTATAAAAATATTAGGTCTTATTCTGTAACAATGAATGTTCTAGGATTTATTAGTGACCCTTCATTTTTATCGTAAATTAAAACCTCAAATGCTTTAGCTTTTTCCATTCTGTTCTTATGGGCAAAATAAAAATAAACTTGTTCTACTCTAAATGATGCAACTTGACCAATTTTCAAAATTCCTTGATGCATGACACGTCCAATATTTAGTGCTCCTTTGTTACCAACATGGTCGTATCCTCCCACAACTGCGTGTTTATTGATGGTATCTACATGGAACGACGTCCATGTTGTCGATAACCAACTAAAATTGTCCTTATGTTGGGTACATAGAATCTAAAACTTAAATTCTAGTGCCGCGGTCATAATTTTGACAGTTTGTATACCTTAACAATATAATCACGTTTTTTTACACCATAGCAAGCTACATCTACTTGTGTTGTTCCTGGTATTATCTGACCAATAAAAAGACCATGTCCATGAACATATACTTGCCCAATGTAAGTATCATTTCCATTTATGTCTGTACCACCTGGAAATGCATCGAATGGAACTACGCCATTGTAGTCCCTCCAGTAATAATCTAAGAACGGAAAATTTGGATGATGTTCACAATGCGTTTGAGTCAGAGTACTTACCCACGTCTTGACATTTAGCATCATTCAAAGTAAGCAAGATAATTCCTGAAATTATTATACTAAAACTTTTCATAACGACACCGTTTTAGACTTCGTTTTGGTTCATTCTGTTATGAAAAGATCTCGTGTTGTAATTTCGTCTCATGACACCAATCTTCAGTCAATTTTTCATAGCTTTGAAGCATTATCGGTAGCACGGTTTATCCACTCTTATCAATTCCTTGACCTGTATATATTATTAAATATAATTTTACAATTCCATCTGTTACAGATATAACGATTGCAGTGTGCCACCTTTCCATATATTATTTTGACTCAAACAGAGCCAGTCCATTAATATTCATTAATCCTGTCTAAATTTTTACATTTAGATTATGAACACTCTATAAACACTGATTAGATATTTTGGTGTCTCATGACAAACATGACCCTTTATTTTAAAATAAATCACACTACATTGTAATCACAGAACTAAAGAACATCGACAATAATGTTCCTAAAAGTTATTTTTTTCTTAATTTTTACCAATCTGCTTAAGGTAAACGTTGTGTCTTGTGCATGTGTAGATTCGTTTATGGTGATATGTACCTCACTTGAAGACGTTATGGCATTAAGCGAAAAGTACTTTTGGACGGAACTGTTAATCCAGAACACAATAGGAATATTTCATGTAAACCTAACAAAAAGTAATTTAAACAATATGCCACATTTAAGACGACTGATTATTGTAAATCACCTGAACAAAATTGAACCACTATTTTTTGGCCAGTTTGAGTTGATAACACGTATCACACTGTATGATAACGAGCTGAAAACTCTAGAGGCAAACACGTTTACAAGACTGGAAAGGTTAGAAGAACTGGATTTGAGAAACAATGCTATCGAACACATGGAAAGTTTAAGTGTATCGTTTTGCAAAATTGACACTGTTGATTTATCACATAACAGTCTGCGAATCCTAATCAACGACATTTTCAAGGGTTCTGTTGTTAGGAAGTTGGTGATAACACACAACAAACTCTTGGACATACAACATAATGCGATGCCTTTTCATTTGAAAGTTTTAAATTTAAATTACAACGAATTTCAAACTTTTTCGTTATCAAAGTTAAAGCGGACAGAAAGTGTTACAGATGTCAAACTTAGTCACAACAAACTATATACAGTCGAAGTATTTCATATTTCCAACAAGATAGAAGCTTTAGATGTATCCTTCAACAATTTATACACGTTTCCTATAACTCCATCCATGCTTAGAAACCGACACAATATAAAATTTATTTCGTTAGCTTACAATCGTCTAAGATCTTTTGATGTGGATGTATTTAAGGGGAGTGGTATTGATTTTACAGTAATGGGCAATCCTTGGAACTGCAAATGTGCAAACAAATTAATAAAGGTTTTCAATAACTCTACGTCCATGATTCGCCAAAGTTTGTGTGACAAAAAATTTCTGCAAAGTGGAGCAGCGCCATATTGCATTATGGGAACAATGTGGTATAATGAAGACTGTCCCAAAGTAGAAATTTTTCCAGAAGAGTATTTTCATCATTTCCAGAGTGCGTTGCCTAAAAGTGATGACTGTTATTCATGGCCTCCTTGAGTTTAATAGAAAGTGGACTATTTCCAGAAGTTAACCACCTGTTAGTCCTATCAAAAAATATGTTGTTATTTGGGTTACTAAGTAAATTAAAGATATTGATTTGCTTTTTGCGTTAAATTTCTATCCTTCGCCGAAAATATTCGGAAAATACAGACTGTTTTTGTTTGAAAATATCAGTGACGTAATAGCACAACGTCATCAGTAAAAAAAGTAAGTACATAAATGAGCAGAAGACATCTGCATAGATAACACATCTGTTCTTAGCACTGAAATGTAAATCATTAATATGTATCAAGAAAAATGAGGAAGGTAATACTGATCTCTGCAGTACCATGGATTAAATACTTTTTTATTATTGTTATGCTGTCACTACTAATTCCATTTTATAATTATGTTGACATTTATACATCTACATTATGAACACTTTATAAACACTAATTAGATAATAGATATTTTGTAATGCTGTCTCATGACCCTCACTTTTAAGATAAATCGTACTACATTGTAATCACAGAACTACATAACATCAACAATAATGTTTCTAACAGTTATTTCTTTTTTAATTTTTACCAACTTATTTAAGGTAAACGTTGTGTCTTGTGTATGTGAAGATTCGTTCATGGTGATATGTAACTCCCTTGAAGACGTTATGGCATCAAGTGAAAGGTACTTTTGGACGGAACTATTAATCCAAAACACTATAGGAGTATTTCATCTAAGCTTAACAAAACGTAATCTAAATAACATCCCACATTTACGACGACTGATTATTGTAAATCACGTGAACAAAATTGAGCCATTATTTTTTGACCAGTTTGAGTCAATAACACGTATCACTCTGTATGATAACGACCTGAAAACTCTAGAAGCGAAAACGTTTACAAAACTGGAAAAACTAGAAGAACTAGATCTGAGGAACAATGCTATCGAACACATGGAAAGTTTAAGTATATCGTTTTGTAAAATTGACACTGTCGATTTATCCCATAATAGCCTGCAAACTCTAATCAGCGAAATTTTCCAGGGTTCTGTTATTAAAAAACTGGTGATAACGCACAACAAACTCTCGAAAATAGAGGGTAATGCGATGCCTTTGGGTTTACAATTTTTAAATTTAGAGTACAACGAATTTCAAAGTTTCTCGTTACCAGATTTAAATAGGACCTCGACGGTTACAGATCTTAAACTTAGTCACAATAAACTATATACAGTCGATGTATTTCATCTTTACAGCAGCATAGAAACATTAGATCTATCTTTCAATAATTTATACACATTTGATATAGATCTGCATGTGATAAGAAATCGAAGGATAATAAAATGTATTTCGTTAGCTTATAATCGCCTAAGATCTTTTGATCTGGATGTTATTAAGCTCAGTCAAATTGAGTTTGGACTAATGGGCAATCCTTGGAACTGTAAATGTGCAAATAAAATGATAAACATTTTTTATAATTCTACGTCTACGATTCGTTTAGGATACTGCGACAAAAAATTTCTGGAAAGTGGAACAGGACCATATTGTATGATAGGTCCAATTTTGTATTACAAAGACTGTCCCGAAGAAGAAGTTTTTCCAGAAGAGTATTTTCATGAATTCCAGAGTGCGTTACCTAAAAGTGATTATTGTTTTTCCTTGAAGTCATTCAACTGCGTTGATGCCTCTTGGGTTTAACAAAAATTTGTTGTTCTGGAAAATATTGTATATAAATTGCCTTACTGAACTATTTTTTTAACTGAATTAAAATGAAAACTTATTGTTATCACATTACTAGTATACCTTTATGAACAGCTTATATATAGTTAATTTTGACAATTACCCAATTCGTTGATAAAAGGTTACCAATGTCAAGTTGATATTTTACCAAAAATAAACCAGAAATTAGAACCATGTTTCTGTTTAAACAATTTCTTTTACTTTCCGCCTGTGCCATAAGTATAAAATTAGTGACACCTAAGTGTAAAAATTCTTACGTAGTGACCTGTGAATCAATTCACGACGTTCGTTTCGACGGCAATCGCTTTTTTTGGCGTGAATTATTAATTCAACCCAGCAATGAATCCTACAAATACACTTTAACCCGGAAAATTTTCAAGGATCTAGGATTGGTACGACTGAAACGCCTATCCATCGTTAGACAAGTCGAAAAGGTGCACTCTTTTTTATTCGTCCGTGATATGTCTAGCTTAAGCGATCTAACTCTGTATGGAAACAATCTGACTACTATCAGGAAAAATGCATTAGAGAATATCTCTCTTAAAAGTGTACACCTCAAGAAGAACAATGTGAGGCGTATAAGAAGATTTGGATTTTCTTCGTGCAGTTTTTACGAAGTTGATTTATCTTATAACAACCTAAACGGTCTTTCCACTGACTCTTTTTACAGATGTCGTATTGTTAAATTAGTTATTAAACATAACAGTTTGTCCAACATTCGTAATTATTCGCTGCCTGTTAGTTTGAATTTTCTTAATTTAGATTATAATAAATTTGAAACATTTACACTTGGAGCTCAGCACGCTTTCACAATAATTCAATTAAGCCTTAGCCACAATAAATTAAAACACCTCAATATAGATTCACTGTATATGTTACAATTTTTAGATTTATCTTTTAACAAAATTAGTTCGATCACTACCGAATTTAAAAATTTAACAAAACTTACTCGGTTGAAACTAGACAACAACCATATTGTCAAATTTTCTTTTGCTTCATTTCTAAAAAATGATAAACACTTGTTGTTGTCTTTAGCAAACAACCAACTCAGACGTTTGAATCTAGAACCAATTAAATCCTCAGCTACGAATATAACTTTCATTTTACATGGTAATCCTTGGAACTGTCAATGCTTCGACAAAATGGCTCGCATCTTACACAATTCTACACTATTGCTTCGACAAGCTATGTGTGATATGGAAGTTTTTACCACAGGAGTGCTTCCATACTGTGTTGTACTAAAATCCTACCGTGACAAATGTACTGACGATCGTCTTCCTAGAAAGTTGCTCGACAATTTTAGGAAGTCTTCATCAAAGAAAGATTTTTGTCAATCTACTTTTTACTATAAACAAATTGCCCTTGTTAAATTATATGATTGATAATTATAGGCATTTTAGTTTACCAATAAAACTTGTATCAAAATTTACACCTTCTTTTATTATTATAAAATTTGATACGTCAGTGATAAGTTTTGGTTAATACGAAGATTAAGACCAGGTAATAACAGTTATTGGTCAATAAGAGATCGTTTATAAATTTCTAATTTCTAATTGAAGACTGAAAAGTTCGAACACGAAAACGTTTTTGTGCAAATCGATTTAAACTTTCTGAAATTATAGCTCGAGCATTAGTCGAGTCCTGAGCTAACGATCATGGGTAAAGTACAGTTTGAGGAGCCTTTGCAGTTCCTACATGTTGTAGGTTTTTATCCATCCATCGAAAACAAGTTTTCAAAAATCAGAAAATGTTTGTCGCCTTTGATTATTGTGACTCTCATCATTGTAAGTCTATTGGAACTCATTGTCCACTTTAAGGGTATAGAGACGTGTTCAAGGGCATCTGAATCCCTAATGGTCCAGTACCAAGTAACACGGTTTTTAATTTTTAGTACATAGATGTTTAATTTTTGCTTGCAGGTATTACACAAATTCAAAGTTTTACTAACCTACAAATCGCAAATGGCGCAATTGAAAGAAAGCAGCTCGAAATTCTGGAATCTCGATAATTTTGATGGGCGGTTTAAAACGGAGTGTGGTCACATCTACACATTACTGGGGAGGTTTTTTCGGGTGCATAAGAGTATGATGGTACTGATGACTTTACAGTATGTCCTACGCAAAATTATTTTCAAATCTGACTTACCTCTAACTATTACTTATGGAGAAAGTCAAGGTTTCTCGCCAAAAGTGGATTTTATCCTTTTTGTGTTTCACTGTGTTGCGACTTTTACGGTGCTTCATGTTATAGTTGGGTTTGATGGCTTGTTCTTTTATTTTATCGGGCATATTTTGTCTGAGGTGAAAATGCTTCAAAGTGCTTTCAAGATTGTGCAGTTCAAGGATAACGATTTAGTGATTTCTATTAAACATCATCAGTTTGTTTTGAGCTATATTCACAGTATGAATCAAGTTTACTCAAACTTGCTTCTCCACCAACACGTAAGCTGCTTGTTTGGTATATGTTTTGGGTTATTTTTATTATCAGAAGATGGGTAATATTTTGTATGTAGTTTTAAAAATTTTGTTTGACCATACGGTTTCAGAATGCCACCAGATTTAAGTCATATGTGTAAATATATACCATACATTTTGTCGTTTACTGTACAAACTTTCACGTTTTGTGTTATTGGATCTCTGATTATTAGCTGGGCAAGTCATTGTAGCTTTTTTCTGTAATCTAATAAGCGACAAAATTTTGTGTTACTAGACTTCAGAAATTGCAGATGCTATTTTTTAGAACGGGTGGGATAAATCTGAGGCCTATGGATACAAACATGAAAAAATGTTTGCAATAAATCGTCCTCAAGTAGCGGGTAAACTAACACTCGGAGGATTTGGAAAGTTAGATTTAATTAGCTTCCCTTTGGTAAGTAATTTCAAATGTGAAAAGGTGTTAAAGAATTGTGTTTTACATTTTCAGGTTGTAAAAAATGCTTATTCTTTTTTTACCTTTATCAACACGGTCCAAGATGAGTAAATATTTTGAAAATAATGAATAATGAAATTTAATTTTTCAAATCGGGACACCACAAGAGTAGACGTAAGTGAATTTCTATATATTTTTTTTAACCGTTGGAACAGGCCATGGTAATAGCCTTAACACTGATATATCTGACTTTGACTTATTATTATCAATTGCACGTTATAAAAGAAATAGTTTAATGTAGTTTTTCAATCAATTTATTTAATTAAATTCATTTACCAAATACATCAGTAGTAATTATCTCAAATCTTCATTAACTTACAGAGCAGGGGCAGAATTACAGTTATCTTCATTACAAACGTTACATTCTTTAACTGTAACAACTGGATTACGCTGATACTGTATTTCCAAATCATTGCATATATTACTGGAAGCACATTTTCTGTGCAAAATGTCTGCAGTTGATTCTGAAAACATCTTTTTGCACTCATGACCTTTTTTGATAGCTTTCGCGCATTCACCAGAGTGCGGGAGGTCGAACTTCCCGCACACGTGCATTTAACTTCCCGTTGCCATGGTAACCTTAAAATACTCGGGTAGTGTCAACATTGTGACGTGTTGACGGCGCTGTCAATGGCGTTGTTTATAAATAACTCACAGTTAATCTCTTCAGTTTAAAGGTTTATTCGTCGCAAAAAATATTGTACACAACACGTTCGTGAGCCTGCTTCCCGCATTCACGCAAATGCGGCACTCCCTTCGGTCGTGCCTCAAACAAGCGTTCATGCGGGAAGCAGGCTATCCCGAACTAGTTGCGTAAATTACTATTATGTCAAACAAACGAAAAACCACAATGCTTAAGTACATACTGTGCAAAACGAAGGTGGCACAAACTTGATCACTTCCACAAATTGAGGGATAAACATTAAGCAAATTTGTACATTCAGAAATAGAATTTATCACCCCTGAGCAAGAATAGCACTGAAGAGAAGCCACTGAAAAGATAATTGTTGGTAAATTATAGTTTATATTAAGAAAGAGGAATATGAGTTTGCTCACCTAAATGGCTTTGTGGCAACAAAATGCAGCCTAAAGCAATGAGTACTACCAGTAGTTTGGCCATTTTGAATTGAAACTGATTTTTTAGCGGTCACTCTCTCTATATATAATTCTTGATATAATTCAAGAGTCAATAGTTTAATCCAGAGTAAATATTTTGTACTTTATTAAGTGGGAAAATAGTTATGAAGTTTGGAATTTCGTACGTCAGTATAGATTAGTTTAAATGCAATAATAAAAAACAAGTGAAACATACGCAACGTTGTAAATTTTCCAGCTAAATTCATAATGACGGGCTGTTGCTGTGTTACTTTTCGCTAAGACATTAAACCCTCTAAAGTTAAGCAGGTGGCAAATGTTCTTAGGTAATTGTAACTTTAAGCGAAAAACTAACACTTTTAATATTTTAATCCATTCGTAAAATAAATGGTGATTTCAATGTGTTGTGAATCATTCTGTAAATAGTCGTGGACACCACACACTACACATTCTGCAAGTTTTTGAAGTAACTTTATTGTCACATGAACCAAGAGAACAAAGTTACAAAATTTTTATCAGGTTAAAATAGAGGTAGGTATGTATATACAATATTCTAGACTATGGAATAAATAGGAATAAGTTCTGGAAAAATTCAATAATTTTTTAGATGTGTCATATTGTCCAATCAAAACCCTTGGTGTAAAAAAATATGTGTAAATATTTAAGACATCGAAATCCTGTCATTTGTGTTGAATGGGCCTTCGGCCGCAAATATTTAGACAAAAAATTGTTCCTTTTGTCAACAATATTAGGCAAATATGCATAGTCAACAAATTTAATTTAATGTTCAAAACAACATAATATTTATACGTAGATATATTAAGTATATAAAAATCATTTTAGAATTAAAATTTTAACAATTAAATATACTCCTCTCGAACTTGTTACTTTCCGAGCGTAACCTAGGGAAATCTTGTTATAGCAACTATTACCATCATGTGTCCTGGACTATTATTATTTAATATTCGGAACATACATAGTCCGAGGACACCACTCAAAGTAAAGCTTTAAATAAATAACAATAACTAAAGGTATAAATAAAATTATTTTTGCATTTTTTAAAGTCATGTATGAACATTATTCACTTTTGTGTTCCCAGAGCTTAAAATAAGCTTTTTGTAAACCAGATAAAATTGAGATGTGTAAACACATAAAGCAGGTAAGTAATTTAATAACAGTATTAATCATATTATTACAAGAACTGACACAACAACTTCAGTGAAGGAGGAGCAGCAGATAACGAAAATGAAAAAAATAACCCAACAGTAAATAACCACGAGCGCATGTGTCAAAATTTTCATTATTTTCATATTTCAGGATCAGTTTTTGTTATCTTCAGCGATCATTGTATTAATAAAAGTGAAAAAAGAGAACCCTTTTGCATAACCTAAAACACAAATAATAAATTCGCTTTCACCACAATTGTATTTGTAGAATCCAATTGTCCCCAAGGGGAAGTTTGGCTGGTTTTTGCCCCCTTTTTATAGAAATTACCCTATCTAGTTGATGGGTATGCGGTTCGTAGACCCAAAAAATGTGGTGGCGTCTTGCATTTTGCTTGTGACCCGATCCAAAGCGGTGAACGCGTCATTGGATGACCAACTTGTAGGCCACAATGGGATTCTACAACAACTGGTCGCAACCAACTGATCGCGCGACAATTGATCGCAAACAACTCGTCGCAGCACAATTGGTCACACGCGACAATTGATCGCGGCGACAATTGATCGCAGCCACAACTGATCGCACGTAAATTGATCGCAGCGACATTTGATCGCACGTAAATTTATCGTAGCGTCAATTGATCGCAAGGTAAAATTCATCGGGAAGTATTTTCTTTTATTAAAACTAAATATTTTGTATTCTGAATTTTAAGTTGCAATAAATTTAGCAATGAGGTAAGGTGTAAATATCGACTTAAAAACAATTTGAATATAGATAAGTGACGAAGTTTGTAGTTGTACTTTAAAAACTAAAAAATACGAGCGTAAACACCTTGTTACATAATATTTTTTATTAATAAATTGTCATTTTGGTTAATTTTTTTTAAGAGATTGTTACTATTTATGTCGTTGCTTATTTTACCTATTATATTACAGGAACTAGCTTCATTATAATAAGTACTCAACATAAAGAAAGTGTTTATTGTTCTTAACTAGATTTATCATACGATTATTTAAAAAATCATATGTTTAACAACCTTTAAATTTTAACACATTTTGATACAGAATTGTCTCTATTGTCTATTCTTGCCTTTATACATGTCACAAAACAATAAAATTTATGAACTAATAGTACATCTATAGTATCCATATGCACTGGAAGGATATAATATTTATTTTAATCCCTTGCAAATTGCAGCGGATCTTTTACAGGGTTTGAGAAAGGTTTCGGTGTATTGTAAATATATATTGCAAAAACTTTTGTTAGAGCGTCAAGAATAATTTTGTGTCACCGGGAAATCTAAGAAATGTAGGTACTTATGCAACTAAAAACTGACTTTTTAATTATTATTATGTGAAGAGTATTGTACTGAACAAAAATTCAGTTGTACCATATGTGGGTGGAAAAAATACATATACAGGGTAAGTCACGAGAAAATTACTTCTGAAAATTATTTTTACGCAACCCAAAATACGAATACCGTGTACCACTTGACACTAACTGAATTTAAAATGAAATGCTTAATCCATGATTGCTTTGAGTTTGGCAATGTCATTTTGACAATTCTAGATATTTCTGTGACGTGTAAAACAGCTCTTAGATCTAAAAAAAGGGAAGAAATAATTGGTTCGCAATTTTCCATAAATGACCCTGCTACGTGCTGCTACCTGATTTTATTATTCTCCGTCCTTTGCATCCTACAAAAATTTACAACATGGGCTGGACAAGATTAAAGCTGCAGTTTACATCTGCTCACCTACATCCGGCAGATTAGGCAAATATTTCTGAGTGAATAGTCACCCTTCCGAGTGAAATGCCCCTCAATAAACTTTTCAAACTTCCCAAGCTAAAAATTAGTCACGCTATTGCGAATAACCACTACTCAGTGGCGTCGTCATCCTGGTTGTTTCTACTTTTTAACGGTATTCACTGTTTGTATTACTTGTTACTCGTGATGTATTGGCTGATTTAAATATTTTAAATAATATTAATTTTAGATAATATAAATCTGTTATGTGCGTTGTTTTATTCAAGAAACTTCGCCGCTTCAAAAAAAAAAAAAAACTGTACGTCACTGTCATCGGCAGTCTTATCTGTGTAATGAGGGGTTCTGTTTATGACACTTTACCGGTTTGGCTCGAAACCATAATTTTAAGTCTGGCACTTCCTCCAGTATGAGTATAGTGAACCAAGAGCTATAAGGTTATATGGCCATCATAAAATCATCCCATTGTGTCGAAGTTAAGTTGTTTACAATAGAAAAGGTTTTAGGGTCGTAAATAACGAGTCCACTACAGCTCGACCGGCTCTTGCGGTTTCGTTCAGGGGCGGATTTCACTAAATATGAAAATCCACCACTCCACTATTTCTTTGCTACCTGCAGCCGCTGAGGGTTCCGAAATAACCACTCGCTTTGAAAGCCGGCCCTGTTAAATATGAGCAAGAAATGTTTAGAAGATGATTTATTGCCAACCGGTAAGCTTATTAGTGCGAACCACACAAAGGGGGTATTTATTTGCGGTCAACTAATTTTATAATGGCCATATAACCTTATACCTCTTGGTTCACTATAAAATGGTACACAGGTAAGCTCGGTTTCGAAGAGGTGGAAGTAGGTAAAGAAGGAGTATAGAAAAGTCTAGAAACGAGAAGAGAAAGTGTGTAGGAGCGTAGGGCAGGTAGACGAAAGACCGGAAGTATTTACATTTTTACAATTACTATGAACTATGAATGCCCTCAGGTAGAACACCTGATTTTGTGGGAACTCTTGTTCCTACAGATGCAATATTTTAACTGAGATTAAGTTGATCGCGCATTCAACAAGGCCATTAGCGACGTCTGATTGGCGTAGAGTCGGTCACATGGTACTTTAACGCGGGGCTAAAAATTAAATCGCAATTAAATATTTAATTGAGGTTCTGTAAAGCGGGTTTAATTGTTTTATATACTATTTTAATTTTAATTAAAAAAGCCGACGGATCGGCTGTTTAGCCGACCAGTCGCCGATTGCCAGCCGACGATGAAAAACGACCGAATAGTCGGCTTATCCGACCTGTCGGCCACTAGTCGGTACATCCCTAATTATTATTTATGTTTATGTATTGAAAGAATTCGACGATTAAGCATGTAGGAAGCTGGGTATGTAACGGTTACTATCATAGTTCTTGCTACCTCCCAAGCGTAAACTAAGAAAATATAGTAATAGAGCCAATTGAAGGAATGGCCACTTTTATATTTTCTCTAAGTTTCAAGATCCTTAGAGAATGAAAAATGTAGTATCCCGTTTCCGTCTGTCTCTCTGTCCCTTTGTGTGTATCCATTTTTATTAAACATGTATTCTCCAAAACTGCTGGACCGATTGTTGTTAAATTTTTTATGTATTTTAGAAATATCATGCAGACGGTTAAATGCTGTTAAGGTAAGAGAATAAACGGTGAAAGTGCAGACGTCTTGCAGCTGCTTTGAACCCCATTAGTTCAGAGTGTCATCCATTGTGACCTACAAGCAACCAGGGGCATCCATTGTGGGGTACGCGTCAATTCGTCGGGCACAATTCGTCGCGCGACAATTGATCGCAAACAACTGATCACAGCGTCAATTGGTCGCAGCGACAACTGGTCGCAGTCACAATTCATCGCAACACAATTCGTCGCAAGTACAACTGGTCGCATGCGACAATTGATCGCAGGCGAAAAATGATGGCGTTGATAGAGAAAATAAGTAATTGTTATGAATGAGGAAATTAAAATAAAGTGCTATATTCTCAAAAATTTCATTATTTCTAAAAAAGTCTCAAAATAAATACATACGAGTTCCATAAAAACAGTAACTATTAGGCTCATTTCCGACTAAACCAAAGTGCAAAAAAGTGAAAATATTGTAAAATATTTTTTTTAATGCTAACACATATTTCGTCGGTATGCTACTGTAACGTTCATTTGGATTATTCGTCTTATTAATTAGACACTCAAGTAAGTGATTCATGCTTTTTTCTCACAAGTTTAAAGTTAAATTAAACGAGTGAAAAAAATGGCTTTCAAAACGTGTTACACACGTCATTTTTTTTTTTAAATAAAAAATGGCTTTAAAATTATTACAACTATCAAATTAAAAATTGATAGATTTATCATAATCAATGAAATCGTGAAAAAACTCTCGTTACAATTTTAAGTGGAAAAGTATTATTTTCATTACGTTTGATTGTTTAAAAAATTAAATATATATATTTTTTATAAATTTGGTGCAAAGAAATTTGAAATTATATATTAACAATTAATCTTTATTGGTGTTTACTGCATTCTTTGCAGAAAATTTTTTGGTCACTACAAATTAGTTCTGAATTATCTTTAATCCATGATAAAACCAAAGATGTTTTTTCATTCAGAACTTTTTTGAAGGCTCACACTGTTAATGAGGCGCTTGTAGATACGAAAGAATGAATAATTTACCTCGTTTCCTTTGCTAAGTCCCTACATACCAATCTCCACTTTTACGCCATTTGTGTAAACAAGATCGTAAAAAGATTAGTTTTGACCATGGAGCAAAGAATATATAGTGAACCAAGAGGTATAAGGTTATATGGCCATTATAAAATTAGTTGACCGCAAATAAATACCCCCTTTGTGTGGTTCGCACTAATAAGCTTACCGGTTGGCAATAAATCATCTTCTAAACATTTCTTGCTCATATTTAACAGGGCCGGCTTTCAAAGCGAGTGGTTATTTCGGAACCCTCAGCGGCTGCAGGTAGGAAAGAAATAGTGGAGTGGTGGATTTTCATATTTAGTGAAATCCGCCCCTGAACGAAACCGCAAGAGCCGGTCGAGCTGTAGTGGACTCGTTATTTACGACCCTAAAACCTTTTCTATTGTAAACAACTTAACTTCGACACAATGGGATGATTTTATGATGGCCATATAACCTTATAGCTCTTGGTTCACTATAAAACACCCTTCCTTCTTCTCCCTGACACTCTCGAACAGTAAAGAACGAAATAAAATCTGAAAACCGTACCGTCGCTTTTAAATCACCAACAATACCCACACATCAACTGGTCCAAAATGGTGTTGTTCTTTATTTTTGTAGTGAGTTACTGAAAAAATTAATTATCCAAACAAATTTAACACATTTTTTGGAAAACAAAGGAACTTTAGTTATTCCTTTTATTAAAATAAAACAAAATTTTAAGGTAGTCAGAGAAATAGAAAAAAAAAAGACCCTGGCTGTCGCATTTGTAAACCGGTTTTAGCAAAGCCGAACAGTCGGCCGACTAGTCGGTTTTTACTGGCCGAACAATCGGCTAGTCGGATAGTCGGCCAGATCTACAGTCGGTACATCTCTAATAATAATCGACGATAAGCATATATCGATAACATATTTTTTCACGTTGGGTGTCTGCTTTAAATATGTTTGACATTGTCAGTTCGTGTGCGGACTTCACCCTCCACAGAGCAGGGAATGCGGGGGGTGTTATTTGAGCCACTGCAGAACATGCTTCTCTACCTGTACACTACCAGTCCACTCATATCTTTATTTTAACTTAGGGGGGTTGTTATAAAACATAAATAAAATTCGCAGAATTATTTTTTTTTTGTTTTTACAGTCCGCAACAACAAGCTTAACAACGTTCCAGATCTCGATCAACTTACGTCACTAAAGAAGAATCGACCTTTTCTTCAAATAATCAGTTCAAAGTTCAACAGTTTACGAAACTGAAAATATCTGGACTTGAGCAGCAATAAAATACAAAAGTTTGTTTTCACCATACCGTTTATTGAGAATATTAAAGATCAGTTCTTCATAATGCTGGCTCACAATTGGTTAAGAAATATAGATTTACGTAGGATACAGAATATAGAAATCACTACGACACTCTTTGAAAATCCCTGGAATTGCAAATGTATGGACGAAATTTTTGAACTGATTCGCAATTACAATATCACCACAACAACTTCTGATTCCCGGATTCTTGCATCTGGAAAAAACCCATACTGCATAGTTGATCATAATCCCACATGTTCTGAAGAAAAGATTTCCAATTATGTGTTGGACAATTTTAAAAAAGCTTGCAACGACAGTTTCTGCGATATATTGAACGATATAGACATATTTGTTAAGTGAGAACACCATAAAAATAATCTATGCAATCAATTTGTTATTCTGGAACAATTAATGTCCTAGGATTTATTAGTGAAACTTCATTTTTATCGTAAATTAAGACATGATATGCTTTAGCTTTTTGCACTATGTACTTGTGGGCAAAATAAAAATAAACGTGCTCTACTGTATAGGATGCAACTTGACCAATTTTCAAAATTCCTTGATGCATGACACGTCCAATATTTAGTGCTCCTTTGTTAAAAAAATGGTCGTATCCTCCCACCACTGCGTGTTTGTCGATGGTATCTACATTGAACGACGTCGATGTTGTCGATAACCAACGAAAATTTTCCTTATGTTGGGTACACAGAATCTAAAAGCTTAAATTTTAGCTCCCCAGTCATAATTTTGACAGTTTGTATACCTTAACGAGATAATCACGTTTTACTACGCCATAGCAAGGTACATCTACTTGGGTTGTTCCTGGTATTATCTGACCAACAAAAAGACCAAGTAAATGAACATATACTTGCCCAATGTAAGTATCATTTCCATTTATGTCTCTACCAGCTGGAAACGCATCGAATGGAACTACGCCATTGTAGTCCCTCCAGTAATAATCTAAAAACGGAAAAATTGGGTGATGTTTACAATGCGTTTGAGTTAGAGTACTTACCCACGTCCTGACATTTTGCATAATTTAAAGTAAGGAAGATAATTCCAGAAATTAATGTATCAAAACTTTTCATAATTATTAGAGTTCAATTTGCTTCTTGTGAAAAGATCTCGTGTTGTAATTTCGTCTCATGCCATCACTCTTCTTTTATAGTTCTGAGAAACGACAAATGCATTATGGGTATCCACTCTTATCAACATTCCATGACCTGTATATATTATGAACTAAGTATAATTTTGCAGTGTGCCACCTTTCCTTGTATTATGTTGGCTCACAAACAGAGCCAAGTTTATTAATATGGTATATTTTTCTTAAATTTGGAGGTAAGCATTGCAGTTTTGTGAAAAAGGCAAATTTTTATAATTCTGTCTAAATTTATACATTTACATTACGAACATTCTATAAATACTGATTAGATATTTTGCAATGCTGTCTCATGACCCTTACTTTTAAAATAAATCGCACTACGTTACTCATAGAACTACAGAACATTGACAATAGTGTTCTTAAGAGTTATTTTTTCTTAATTTTCACCAATCTATTTATGCTGAAGGTAAACGTTTACAAGACTGGAAAGGTTAGAAGAACTGGATTTGAGAAACAATGCTATCGAACACATGGAAAATATAAGTGTATCGTTTTGCAAAATTGGCACTGTTGATTTATCACATAACAGTCTGCAAATCCTTATCAACGGCATTTTCCAGGGTTCTGTTGTTAGAAAGTTGGTGATAACACACAACAAACTCTTGAACATACAAGATAATGCGATGCCTTTTGATTTGAAATTTTTAAATTTAAATTACAAGGAATTTGAAACTTTTTCGTTATCAAAGTTAAAGCGGACAGAAACTGTTACAGATGTCAAACTTAGTCACAACAAACTATATACAGTCGATGTATTTCGTATTTCCAACAAGATAGAAGCTTTAGATGTATCCTTCAACAATTTATACACGTCTCTGTCCTTGCTTAGAAACCGACACAATATAAAATATAAAATTTATTTCGTTAGCTTACAATCGTCTAAGATCTTTTGATGTGGATGTATTTAAGGGGAGTGGTATTGAGTTTGCACTAATGGGCAATCAATCCTTGGAACTGCAAATGTGCAAGCAAATTAATAAAAAAGGTTCTCAATAACTCTACGTCCATGATTGGCCAAAGTTTGTGTGACAAAAGATTTTTGCAAAGTGGAGCAGCGCCATAGTGCATTATGGAAACAATGTGATATAACGAAGACTGTCCCAAAGTAGAAAATTTTCCAGAAAAGTATTTTCATCATTTCCAGAGCGCGTTGCCTAAAAGTGATGACTGTTATTCATAGCCTTGGGCTATACCCAGAAGTTAATCACCTGTTAGTTCTATTAAAAAATATGTTGTTATTTGGGTTACTGAATTAAAGATATTTATTTGCGTTTTGTGTTAAATTTCTACCCTTCTTCGAAAATATTTGGAAAAAACAGAGTTTTTTGTTTAAAAATATCAGTGACGTAATAGCACTAACGTCATCATAAAGAAAGTAAGTACATAAATGAGCAGAAGACATGGTGGTGCCATCTGCATAGATAACACATCTGTTCTTAGCACTGAAATGTAGATCATTAATATGTATCAAGAAAAATAAGGAAGTTAATATTGGTCTCTGCAGTACCATGGGTTAAATACTTTTTTATTATTGTTATGCTGTCACTGCTAATTCCATTTTATAATTATGTTGAAATTTATACGTCTCATGAAACTCACTTTTAAGATAAATCGCACTACATTGTAATCACAGAACTAAAGAACATCGACAATAATGTTCCTAAGAGTTGTTTCTTTGTTAATTTTTACCAACCTATTGAAGGTAAACGTTGTGTCTTGTGTATGTGAAGATTCGTTCATGGTGATATGTAACTCACTTGAAGACGTTATGGCATCTAGTGAAAGGCACTTTTGGACGGAACTATTAATCCAAAACACAATAGGAGTATTTCATCTAAGCTTAACACAACGTAATCTAAATACTATCCCACATTTACGACGACTGATTATTGTAAATCACGTGAACAAAATTGAGCCATTATTTTTTGACCAGTTTGAGTCAATAACACGTATCACTCTGTATGATAACGACCTGAAAACTCTAGAAGCGAAAACGTTTACAAAACTGGAAAAACTAGAAGAACTAGATCTGAGGAACAATGCTATCGAACACATGGAAAGTTTAAGTATATCGTTTTGTAAAATTGACACTGTCGACTTATCCCATAATAGCCTACGGACTCTAATCAGCGAAATTTTCCAGGGTTCTGTTATTAAAAAACTGGTGATAACGCACAACAAACTGTCGAAAATAGAGGGTAATGCGATGCCTTTGGGTTTAAAATTTTTAAATTTAGAGTACAACGAATTTCAAAGTTTCTCGTTACCAAATTTAAATAGGAGCTCGACGGTTACAGATCTTAAACTTAGTCACAACAAACTATATACAGTCGATGTATTCCATCTTTACAGCAGCATAGAAACATTAGATCTATCTTTCAATAATTTATACACATTTGATATACATATTCTGGATTCTGGATTCTTAATTTATGGGGGCTGACTGTGGCCAGCCGGCACTTAGGCCTCGCCTTTGGGCCCATTGTACCTTCCCCAAGTCCATATCAGGGTGTTTTCCCGCTTTTCTACTCGTCAAGCCACCCAACTGCTTGAATGTACTTGAATAATGCAGAGGGTGGAAACTCCCTGATATTTGCTATACTAGGCCAGATGTCCCCTAGTATGAATTCCCTGTAGGAGGCTAGGGCTGGACACTCACGAAGAATGTGCTCAGCTGTTTCCTCTTCTTCATTGCATCCAGGACAGATTGGGTCTGTTACCACCCCTATCGTATGTAGATGTTTGTTAAACTGGTAATGTTTCGTAAGGAATCCTATCAGTTTACGCAGTTTGTCCGTTGAAAGTGAGAGATAAAATTTCATCAACTTACGGTCTGGTGTCGCCATACAAGCTCTACTATGCCCACAGCTGCTCAACATCACCCATATCTGCTCATGGCCTCTCTGGGTATATTGCTTTACGACTTCGTTCGAGAGGGCGACCAAAGGCATGATTTCCGGTTCGGGTCCCCAGAAGGGCATGCGCGCGGCTCGCTTCGCCATCTCATCTGCCCTCTCGTTTCCTTCGTTGCCACTGTATCCTTTGATCCAACAAAGTTCCACACTATTCCTTTGCGTTACATACTTAAGCGTTTGTCTGCACTCCCAAACCAGCCCGGATCGAACCATACAGCTGTCCAGGGCTAGTAGTGCAGACTTGCTGTCAGTAAGTATGCGTATTGATTTGTTGCCGATTTCACGTTCAGCAATGATTCTAGCTCCCAGCATTATTCCCATCAGTTCTGTTTGTAAGACAAACGTGTGGGTGCCGAGACGTACACTGATTTGTGCGTTCAGTTGTTCGGAGTAGATGCCGGCTCCTGAACCACTATCTGTTTTGGTACCATCGACATAGGTATCTATGTCGGCTCGTCCTTTTGAATTATCATTCATTGATATTCTATATGTCTTCTCATATATTAATTTTGTGCCCATTCGGTCACAACCCATCCTTAACAAGGGTATTCTGTTGAACGCCCCCGTACGAGTGTGCTTATGCGGCCTTGCTTGTTCCATACTCCCAGAGAGTGAAGTCTTAGAGACGTCGTCATTGCCGCTTCCTCTATGTAAAGGTTAAGAGGTGCTAAGCAAAGAAGAGTCTCCAGAGCCGTTGTGGGAGTGGTCCTCATTGCTCCTGTAACACTGAGACACGCCATTCTCTGAACGTGTTCAAGTTGCAGGGCTGTTGTTTTTTGTCTAGCTCTGGGCCACCAAACTAGAGCTTAGCACAGCAGCGGTCTGACTATTGCCGTGTAGATCCAGAGGGCGATCTTGGGATTTAAACCCCACGACCTTCCCACCACCCTACGACATTGCCAAACAGCCGAGCGTGCCTTTACCACTTTATCATCTACATGCTTCTTCCAATTCAGCCGCCAGTCCAATACAACTCCCAGGTATTTGACTTCGTGCGAAAGTTGAAGCGTTAAATATTTTTGGCATCTGTAGTGTGCCAATTTTCCTTTTCCTAGTGAACAGGATTAGTTTCGTCTTTTCTCCATTAACGGAGAGGGTATGCCTGCTGCACCATTCCTCGACTATTTTTACTGCAGTTTGCATTATCTCACATAATGTATCTGCGCTTTTTCCCGTTAGCAGAATGACTAGATTGTCCGCGTATCCAATTGTGTGGTAACCAAGATCATTGAGGCGTCGTATCAGGCTGTCAACGACAGTATCCCACAGTACAGGAGAGAGAACTCCTCTCTGAGGACATCCCCTGTCTACAACAGCCTCGATCTCAGTGCCACCTACATTAATCATTACTTCCCTATTCCTCAGCATACCGGCCACCCACCTACTTAGGGTGGGGTCCACGTCGTGCTTTCGTAGGGCTAGTTCTATGCTTTTGAAGGTCGTTTTATCAAACGCTCCTTCAATATCCAAAAACATTCCTAAGGTGAAGAGTTTGTTCTCCATCGCCCACTCTATACGGTTTACAACTGTGTGTAGGGTCGTATCGGTGGATCTTCTTTGGATGTAGACATGTTGGTTCGGATGTAGAGGTTGCTTGCTCAAAGCAGTCTCCCGAATCTCTTTTTCGCTTAGTCTTTCTAGCGTTTTCAGCAAGAATGATGTTAAGCTAATTGGTCTGTAGGATTTAGCCAAGGTGTAATCTTGTCGTCCTGGCTTAGGTATAAAGATAACCTTTACTTTTCGCCATGCATTCGGTATGTAGCTGAAAGTCAGACACGCCCGAAGCATTGGCAACAAAATAGGGCGTAGTCTGCTCATTCCCCTCTGCAGGAGGGCGGGATAAATACCGTCAACTCCTGGAGATTTATATGGGGAAAAGCTGTCCACTGCCCACTCCAGTCTTGCCTCCGTGACTATTTTTGCCGCCAGCGCCCAGTCCTTCGGGGAAGGTTGAGTACCGGCTACATCCCTTTTGGAATGGGAGGTAGTCCTTGTGCTGCCTGGAAACATGGTCTGCAGCAAAAGGTCTGCGGACTCTTCTAAGGTGGCTGTAAAGGTGCCATCTTCTTTCTTTAGGAAACCTAGTTGATGTGTGTGGTCCTTCGAGAGAACTCTCTTCAGCCTTGTGGCCGAAGCAGTCGACGTTACGTCGCTGCAGAAGGATCTCCACGTTTCCCGTTTCCTCTTTCTTAATTCTTTCTTAAACTCTTTCCGGTGCTCTTTATAGGCTTCCCAGTCTTCAGTTTTCTTAGTGTTTTTTGCTCTATTGAAAAGTTTTCTTAGCCCCGATTGAAGTAGGCTGAGCCTTCGGTTCCACCATGGTGTACCTTTGCCCAGACCTTCCTTCTTTAGGGGGCAACTTTTCTCATACGCTGACATTAGAGAGTCGTTGATAATGGTCAAGGTTTTCTCTATGTCTTCTGTCGATCTGTATTCGGTTGGTATAGACTGCACGGAGGTCCCCAGTCTGTCGTCCAGGTCTTCGTTGTATAAAGCCCAGTTCGTCAGCCTAGGATTCTTGTACGTCTTTGTCTCCATGTCTATACATTTTAATGTATAGCTGATTCATCTATGGTCTGACACTGACGCCTTTTTAGAGACGTGCCATCCCATTATATATTGTGAGATATCCCATGTAGCCAGTGTAATATCTATTACTGACTGACTACGCGATGTTACGAAAGTTGGTTCGCAGCCTCGGTTGAGAATCTCTAGATTTGTTGATAAAAGATATTCAGCTAGTGTTCTTCCTCTATCATTAGTGTCTTTCCTCCCCCACAGCAGAGAGTGGGCATTCGCATCGGTACCGATGATGAGGTTTATATTTCCGGTATCACAGTGTTCCACCAAGTTCGCCATTTCCCATGTTGGACATGATTCCTGTGCTCCCTGTGGTAAGTACACGGATGCTATTACCAGTTGCTCTTCGCCTCTTTCTATGTTACACTTAACATTTACCGCAGTCACATCCCTGGAGCTGACCTGAGGTAGGAGGACGGCTTTAATTTTCCTGGGAATGTAGATGCATGTCCTTGGAGATTCTATTGTGGTATCTGAAACAACAGTGCCATTTAAATTGCTCAACCCTACGATCCTGGATTTTACTATCAATGGTTCTTGGATTATTGCTATAGTGTTCTGCATCTTGTCTAGACGACGACACAAAACAGTCGTCGCCATGCGACAATGCTGCAGGTTAATCTAAATGAAATTTATCTGCTGCAGCGCCATCTCTGCAACAAAAAAAAATCCCATACCTGTCCTAGGAGACACGAGGCATATGTCTCAGGCGGGCCCGCCCTCACTGGTAGAGGCTTCATCCCCTGGGGTTTCTACCTCTTCCATAGGGGTCCGCCCTTCCTGAGCCGACGCCTCGTTCTCCTTGAGTTTCAGGTTGAAAGAGGACAGCATATAGTTGATTCTGCCCTCTCTCTCCCTGATTATCTTGGCCTCATCCATCCCAAGACCAAACACAAAGAGGTTGCCTGGAGAGGCAGCCTCGGGTTTGGCCTCGCGATGGAAAAGAAGCCATTTTTTGACGTGGGCCCATTGGTTCTGACCCTCCAGGCGGCAAAGTACGACTCCTGCATCCACCGGTGGTCCCGGTATCCACAGGGTCGCCCTCACCAGCCTTGGTAGCTCAGCCAAGGGGACCACGTTAAGTTGTGCGCCGTCCCACAAGGGTGTTAGGGAGCGCACTGTTTGTTGCAGCCATTTCAGGGACAACTCGTCTTCACAGGTTATCCTTAGGATTTCCCCTGTATACTTGACGCCCCTGAAAGTAGCTGCCTGTCTACCTGATGCCACGCACTGGTCAAGTTGCCTGTCCAGCGCTCCCATCAGGCCCTTTTGTACTATCCCCACCTGGTCAGCAGTCAGCTTACCAAGTGGATGCTGCACATCAATCACAGCTACACGGAGATGACTTGCAGCCGCCTCCCTGTAGCTCTGTTCTCTAGAGGTAGTCTCCTGCCTCCTCATCCTCTTTTGCTTTTCAGCTGCCGGAGGTGTGGAGGTTGAAGACCTCACTCTCTTTTTTGACCCTGAGGTCTTTTTCCCCGCGGGTTGTTTAGGGTTGGCTATCGTAGCCTGCCTTTTACCCTTGGGGTGTATCCCGGAGGAGGATGGACCCCGTTTCGGCGGGTAGGTATTCGCCGCCTCCGCCTGCAAACGAGCCTTCCTCCGCCTTTTTACCTCAGCCCCGCAAATTCGCTTCCTCCTAGGAGGCTGCGACCCCACGTTGGCTGGGTTTTCTTTTTTCGGTGCACCCGAAGGCACTTCCTCAGTGTTTTTTTTGTTGTCGGTTTCCATAATCTGGATTTTGATATACATATGCACGTGATAAGAAATCGAAGGATAATAAAATGTATTTCGTTAGCTTATAATCGCCTAAGATCTTTTGATCTGGATGTTATTAAGCTCAGTCAAATTGAGTTTGGACTAATGGGCAATCCTTGGAACCGTAAATGTGCAAATAAAATGATAAACATTTTTTATAATTCTACGTCTACGATTCGTTTAGGATACTGCGACAAACAATTTCTGGAAAGTGGAACAGGACCATATTGTATGATAGGTTCAATTTTGTATTACAAAGACTGTCCCGAAGTAGAAGTTTCTCCAGAAGAGTATTTTCATGAATTCCAGAGTGCGTTACCTAAAAGTGATGATTGTTTTTCCTTGAAGTCATTCAACTGCGTTGATGACTCTTGGGTTTAACAAAATTTTGTTGTTCTGGAAAATATTGTATATAAATTGCCTTACTGAACTATTTTTTTAACTGAATTAAAATGAAAATTTATTGTTATCACATTACTAGTATACCTTTATGAACAGCTTATATATACTTAATTTTGACAATTACCCAATTCGTTGGTAAAAGGTTACCAATGTCAAGTTGATATTTTACCAAAAATAAACCATAAATTGGAACCATGTTTCTGTTTAAACAATTTCTTTTACTATCCGCCTGTGCCACAAGTATAAAATTAGTGACACCTAAGTGTAAAAATTCTTACGTAGTGACCTGTGAATCAATTCACGACGTTCGTTTCGACGACAATCGCTTTTTTTGGCGTGAATTATTAATTCAACCCAGCAATGAATCCTACAAATACACCTTAACCAGGAAAAATTTCAAGGGTCTAGGACTGGTACGACTGAAACGCCTATCCATCGTTAGACAACTCGAAAAAGTGCTCTCTTTTTTATTCGTTCGTGATCTATCTAGCTTAAGCGATCTAACTCTGTATGGAAACAATCTGACTACTATCAGGAAAGATGCATTAGAGAATATCACTCTTAAAAGTGTACACCTCAAGAAGAACAATGTGAGGCGTATAAGAAGATTTGGATTTTCCTCGTGCAGTTTTTTTGATTTATCTTATAACAACCTAAACGGTCTTTCCACTGACTCTTTTTACAGATGTCGCACTGTTAAATTAGTTATTAAACAGTTTGTCCATCATTCGTAATTATCAACGGGCGGAATTGTGTTTCATACGCTAGATCCAGTGCTGTCGCGGCGATACTTTGATTACAAATATATTTTTATTTTGGACTATATCAACATAATATAACATTTCAAGATCACAAATCTGTGGTCCTGTGTTTGAAAAATTAAAAGGGGCATCAAGTATTATTTTTTTAAGTAATATAGTAATATAGAAGTAGTTTTTTAACAAGCTGTAAACACTCCTAGCGACGCACTGGCTACGACCTTGTGGACCAGATCAAAGCGTCCCCGCTACTCGCCGTAAAACACACCTTGCTTCAACTGGGGAATTGCATCCGTAAGATAAATTTCCGCTTACTGGTAATTATTCGCTGCCTGTTGGTTTGATTTTTCTTAATTTAGATTACAATAAATTTGAAACATTTACACTTGGATCTCAGCACGCTTTTACAATAATTCAATTAAGTCTTAGCCACAATAAAGTAAATCACATCAGTATAGATTCATTGTATATATTAGAATTTTTGGATTTGTCTTTTAACAAAATTAGTTCCATCACTACCGAATTTAAAAATTTAAAAAAACTTGCTCGGTTGAAACTAGACAACAACCATATTGTCAAATTTTCTTTTGCTTCATTCCTAAAAAATAATAAACACTTGTTGTTGTCTTTAGCAAACAACCTACTCAGACGTTTGAATCTAGAACCAATTAAATCCTCAGCTACGAATATAACTTTCATTTTACATGGTAATCCTTGGAACTGTCAATGCTTCGACAAAATGGCTCGCATCTTACACAATTCTACACCATTGCTTCGTCAAGCTATGTGTGATATGGAAGTTTTTAGCACAGGAGTGCTTCCATACTGTGTTGTACTAAAATCCTACCGTGACAAATGTACTGACGATCGTCTTCCTAGAAAGTTGCTCGACAATTTTAGGAAGTCTTCATCAAAGAAAGATTTTTGTCAATCTACTTTTTACTATAAACAAATTGCCCTTGTTAAATTATATGATTGATAATTATAGGCATTTTAGTTTACCAATAAAACTTGTATCAAAATTTACACCTTCTTTTATTATTATAAAATTTGATACGTCAGTGATAAGTTTTGGTTAATACGAAGACTAAGACCAGGTAATAACAGTTATTGGTCAATAAGAGATCGTTTATAAATTTCTTATTTCTAATTGAAGACTGTAAAGTTCGAACACGAAAACGTTTTTGTGCAAATCGATTTAAACTTTCTGAAATTATAGCTCGAGCATTAGTCGAGTCCTGAGCTAACGATCATGGGTAAAGTACAGTTTGAGGAGCCTTTGCAGTTCCTACATGTTGTAGGTTTTCATCCATCCATCGAAAACAAGTTTTCAAAAATCAGAAAATGTTTGTCGCCTTTGATTATTGCGACTCTCGTTATTATAAGTCTGTTGGAACTCTTCGTCCACTTTAAGGGTATAGAGACCTGTTCAAGGGCATCTGAATCCCTAATCGTCCAGTATCAAGTAACACGATTTGTAATTTTTAGTACATAAATATTTAATTTTTGCTTGCAGGTATTACAGAAATTCAAAGTTTTACTAACCTACAAATCGCAAATGGCGCGATTGATAGAAAGCAGCTCCAAATTTTGGAATCTTGATAGTTTTGATGGGCGGTTTAAAAGGCAGTGTGGTCACATTCACACATTACTGGGGAGGTTTTTTCGGGTGTATAAGAGTATGATGTTACTGATGACTTTACAGTATGTCCTACGCAAAATTATTTTCAAATCTGACTTACCTCTAGCCAGTACTTATGGAGAAACTCAAGGTTTCTCGCCAACGGTAGATTTGATCCTTTTTGTGTTTCATTGTGTTGCGACTTTTATGGTGCTTCATGTTATAATTGGGTTTGATGGTTTGTTCTTTTATTTTATCGGACATATTTTGTCTGAAGTGCAAATGCTTCAAAGTGCTTTCAAAATTGTGCAATTCAAGGATAACGATTTCGTGATTTCTATTAAACATCATCAGTTTGTTTTGAGCTATATTCACAATATGAATCAAGTTTACTCGGACTTGCTTCTACAGCAACACTTAAGCTGCTTGTTTGGTATATGTTTCGGGTTATTTTTATTATCGGAAGATGGGTAATATTTTGTATGTAGTTTTAAAAATTTTGTTTGACTATATGGTTTCAGAATGCCTCCAGATTTAAGTCATATGTGTAAATATATACCATACATTTTGTCGTTTACTGTACAAACTTTCACGTTTTGTGTTATTGGATCTCTGATTATTAGTTGGGTAAGTTATCGTAGTTTTTTCTGTAGACTAATAAGTAATAAAATTTTGTGTTACTAGACTTCAGAAATTGCAGATGCTATTTTTTACAACGGATGGGATAAATCTGAGGCTTATGGGTACAAACATGAAAAAATTTTTGCAATAAATCGTGCTCAAGTAGCGACTAAACTAACACTCGGAGGATTTGGAAAGTTAGATTTAATTAGCTTCACTTTGGTAAGAAATTTAAAATTTGAAAATGAGTTGAATCATTGTGTTTTACATTTTCAGGTTGTAAAAAACGCTTATTCGTTTTTTACCTTTATCAACACGATCCAAGATGAGTAAATATTTTGACAATAATGAATAATGAAATTTAATTTTTCAATTCGGGACACCACAAGTGTGTAGACGTCAACTGAATTTCTATAATTCTATTAATCACGTAGAACAGGCCATGACATTTTTTACATTGATATGTCTGATTTGACTTATTATTATCAATTACACGTTATAAAAGAAATAGTGTAATGTAGTTTTTCAATCAATATATTTAATTAAATTCATTTACCAAATACATCAGCAGTAATTATCTCAGGATCTTCATTAACTTACAGAGCAGGGGCAGAATTACAGTTATCTTCATTACAAACATTACATTCGTTAACTGTAATAACTGGATTACGCTGATATTTTCTTTCCAAATCACTGCATATAGTACTGGGGGCACACTTTCTTTGCAAAACATCTACATTTGGTTCTAGAAACATCTATATCAAACAAACGAAAAACCACAATGTTTAAATACATACTTCGCAAAACAAAAGTAGCACAAACTTGATCACTTCCACAAACTGAAGAATGAACATTACGCAAATCTGTACATTTGGAATAAGAATTTATCACCCCTGAGCAAGAATAGCACTGAAGGGAAGCCACTGGAAGGATAGTTTTTGATAAATTATAGTTTATATTAAGAAAGAGGAATATGGGTTTGCTCACCTAAGTGGCTCTGTGGCAACAAAATGCAGCTTAAAGCAATGAGTACTACTAGTAATTTGGCCATTTTGAATTGAAACTGATTCTTTAGCGGACACTCTCTCTATATATAACTCTTAATATAATTCACGAGTCAATAGTTTAATCCAGAGCAAATATTTTGTACTTTAATAAGTGGGGAAAATGGTTAAGAAGTTTGAAATTTTGTACGTCAGTATAGATTAGTTTAAATGCAATAATAAAAAACAGGTGACACAAACGCATACGTTGTAAATTTTCCAGCTAAATTCATGACGGACTGTTGCTGTGTTACTTTTCGCTAAGACATTAAATCCTGTAAAGTCAAGCAGATGGCAAATGTTCTTAGGTGATTGTAACTTCAAGCGAAAAATTAACACTTTTAATATTTTAATCCATTCGCGAAATACATGGTGACTTCAGTGTGTTGTGAATCATTCTGTAAATAGCGCGTGTTTCATTCGTTGTGGTCACTGCACACTACACAAACTGCTAGTTTTTGATGTAACATGATTGTCACATGAACCAAGAGAACAAAGTTTCAGAATTTTTATCAGGTTACCATAGAGGTATATACAATATTCTAGACTATGGAATAAATAGACCCATAAAAGGATACGTTCTGGAAAAATTCCATAATTATTTAGTTGTGACAAGCCTTAGTGTAAAAAAATGTGTGACGTAATATTTAAATATTCAATTGTTTTGGACCAATGTGTTGATTTATTTATTGACCTTATTTTCACCGAAAACGCGTTCATTGGTTGTCAGCCCTACATTGGCCCAGGATAAAGGAGCCGCAATTCCACTCTACCCGTGACGAGAATTTCATCCGGACGCTGATCTTCATCAATCCCTATATTTCACTTGTACATTTATATAAAAACAAATTGCTTGCACCACTCCTACAGTATGAATTTATTATACCCCAGAAGAAAAATGTCCCTCATAAAATACTTATCTAAGAATTAAATGAACGAAAAGAAAACGCAACTTTTAAAAATTCTTTACCCGGTATATTATATGGCATGACAAAATTTGTAACACTCTGTATACCAGTTCAAATATATTGTATTCGCTAAATTGGTGATAATTATCGGCACTGTACATATTTATTTATTACTATTTATAACTAGGTATTCATTATTTTCTTGAAATATCACACGTGCGCTACGCGTTAACATAGTTATAAAAATATCTTTTAAGACAGGGAAATCTTGTTATTTGTGTTGAATGGGCCTTCACTGCACTCTCGAATATACGTCAAAAAATCATTTAGATTTAAAATATTAACAAAGTGTCACATCAAAATTTTCCATAGTAAATGTTATTTAAATTTTATGAAATAGCATACTCATACAGATGTGGTTTATGAATCCGTCCTCATATTTTAAACAAAACTAAAAATAAAAAAATCCATCCAAAACAACAATTACCACCATGTCTCCTGTGGTCTAATTTCCAGTAAATATTCTAGTAGGATTATTGTTATTTAACATTCGGAAAATATGCAGTCCGAGGACACCACTCAAAGACTTTGCTTTAAATAAATAGCGATAATTAAATCATGAACAAGGTATAAATAGAACTATTTTTGCATTCTTTAAAGTCATGTGTGAACATTATTCACTTTTGTGTTCCCAGAGCTTAAAATAAGCTTTTTGTAAACCAGATAAAATTGAGATGTGTAAACACATAAAGCAGGTAAGTAATTTAATAACAGTATTAATCACATTATTACAAGAACTCACACAACAACTTCAATGCAGATAACGAAAATGAAAAAATAACTAAATTGTAAATACCCACACGTGCATGTGTCAAAAATTTCACTATTTTCATATTTCTAGATCAGTTGTTACCTTCAGCGATCATTGTATTTATAAAAGTAAAAAAAGAGAACGCCTTTTGCATAACCTAAAACACAAATAATAAATTCGCTTTCACCACAACTGGATTGGTAGTTTTGACCAGTTTAAAACTTTCTAAATCCAGAGCACCAAAGTCCCCAAGGGTTAGTTTGGCTGCTTTTTGCCCTCTTTTTATAGAAATTACCCTCCCTAGTCTGTTTTCGTAATCATAATCTTTGTCCCAGTCGTTGTAAAATATTTCTTGCGGTATTTCTAAAGACCAGTCGGTTAAGATATGGCCTCCAAAACAAAAAGTAAAAGTCTGCAGAATAAACGAAATTATGTAGGGTATATATTTGCTGGCACGATCTACATCTGGTGGTAATCTACAACCCATCATTAAAACACTAACTAATACTTTAGTTTAAACTCACCCATCTTTGCTCATAAGAAATAGTCCAAAGCATATTCCAAAAAGACAAGACATATGTTGCACCAAAAGAACTACAGAAAATACACTGTTGAAATTTTGAACAAATCTGTAAAAATTTTGAAACAATAATAACATTAATATCTCAAGGTTTTAGTAAAAACGTACTCTAAAACACGACTGTGATGTTTTGCGGTCATTCTAAATCTCGTCCTTTCGTTCCACGGAGTTCCAATGTTGTAGTTTCCAAAGGCGACCTTCACCATCTGTAATTCCGACAATATGTGGCCAATAAAATAAAAAAATAGACCATCAAAACCATTGATTACATTAATAGAAACTAGTGTAATTGAAATATGTAAGATTAGGTACATTTGCTCATAGGGGGCTTCCAGTCCTTCACTCTCTCCATAACTGATACAGACAGGTTTCTTTATTTTGAAAACAATTTTAACCGCCAAAAACTGCAAACACGTGAAAATAATCATGGTCTTGTACAGAAGAAAAAAGCGTTTTAAGAAATGGTGCACCCTACTAAAACTGTCTTTGTACTGTGATCCAAATACATCTAAAGCCCAAAATCGTCCACTGTCTTTCAAAAGTTGCCCAATTTGTCTCCTATGGACTATCAAAACGACCATTTTAACCACCAGCTGAAAATTATAGGAGTATAATATTTAATCCAGATTTGTGTTGTCTTTGTTCTTCACTTGTGTTTGAGGAACCATAGACTCTGAAGCCCGAGCATACGTTTCTAATCCTTCAGAGTTAAAGCCGAGCTCCATCACCCCAGAAAAAATAGTGATCGCGTAGACTGTGAGTGAAAACGCTCGTCTTAACTTCGAAACGCGGTCATTTTTGAAGGGGTGCATTCCGATCACGTTTAAGAAAAAAAGGGGATCTGAAAAGTCGACCTTGCTCATGTTGGGTTTTTGCTGAACTAAAAAAACCGCCGTGGCGTAATTGGGGCTTTAATTTTTGATGGCTGAGACTTGAGTGTGTGCTTTGGGGTTAATATTTAATGGTTTAAATTGGCTTAGAGTTGAACGGGGTTTGCAAGTTTAATGGAAAAATTGTTGGGGTGGGTAATTCTCTAAATTGCTGAATTAATTATTTTCGCGTGGGAATTGGCAGTGTGGCTGAACATGTCGTGATTTTCGGTATTTAAGGGTTTGTTGAGTTAAAAATGTATGAGTGTGTTCTATTAGTTGAACCAAGTTTACAGGCATAAGCGTTTGTAAAATTTTTATGTTAAGGACAAAAGATTAAAATTTAACGCATGTCATTTGTCATGTGTATTTAAATTTTATAATATCATATACTCTTGTACTTGTGGTTTATGAGTCAGCTTTGATTTTTAATCCTAGTCGATTTTGGCAACCACCGAATATCTCGCAATCCCTTCATAGGTCACTTTTTTCTTATACTTCACTGGCTTTATTTATTACTAAACAGAAAAATTTAAATAAACGGTAAGATTCTGTGTCTTGATGTCAAAGTTTTTGCATTCGTTTAGTTCTTATAATGCAAGAAGATAAAAACACTGAATGTGGAATATTATACCACAGAAAAAAAATCCTTCATGAAATGGTTATTTAAGAATTATATTTTGAGTTCTTTTTCAAACTTTTATTTTTGGGGAACTAATTAAAAACAGAATTATTGGCTCAGTTACAAAATCTATGTATGAGAAAAATTTGTCTTTCGTTCCCGTCTGTCGGTCGCCTGTCGCGTATTTGTCATTTGTGTCAATTTTTATAAGACAGATAATCTCCGAAACTACTGAAGCGATTGTCTTCAAATTTTATATGTATTTTCGGAGTATCGTGGAGATGGTAAAACGTTAACCAAGCTTTGTCTAATTACTTCCACGAACAATTTAATAACATCATGTCAAGATTCTGCATGGTAAATACTGTTAAATTTTATAAAATAACATACTCCTGTGACTTTGATTTGGGCATCAAAAATAAAAAATCACGATACGTTGACTTATAATAAAGCCATAAATGAAATGAACTAATTAATTTATGAAGTAGCAAAAGCGAAGTAAGTATCATTAAATGTGGCAAAAATAGAGCAAATAGAATATTTAAAACCAGTGCTCAGTATATAGAGTAATGTATAATTTTGCTTAGCATTTTGTTCTTTGTCTTCGTAACGCTACCATAAATAATTTTTGATAAAATTATAGTTCCGTTTTTTTAAATATTGGGTTAATTCACCACGATTGTGCTATTAATAACTTATTTAAAAGCCAGTTCTGCGGCGAGCATTCAGTTCACCGACGAAGTACGATGGGCAAAGTACAGTTTTCAGAACCTCTACGATTTTTAATAAAGTTAGGATTTAGCCCTTATCAAACAGAAAATTCGTCATGTATCAAGAGAATTTTCTGTGTTGTTATTTTCCTATGTGTGGTGATTTCGTCATGTTTGGAGTTGTCAACGAATTTTAACAAAGCTACAATTATTCGTGGGTGCGAATTGTTAAGTCCCTACTACCAGGTAACAAAACATTGTTTATTATACTTGTTGTCCAATTTCCGCTTACAGGTCGCATGCAGATTTTTCGTTCTCATTAAACACAAGAACAAACTAAAAGTGCTTCTAGAGGAAAGCGCACACTTTTGGGAATTGGACGAATTTGGAGACCCTCACGACAACACGAATACCAAAATTCATAAACTTTTGGAAAAAAGTTTTCAGATGTATAGGCGCTTGTTATATTTTTCAGCTGTACAGTACATACTGGGTGCGATTTTTAACGAACAACCAATGACGCTGAGTTACGGTGAAACCCAGGGTCTGAACTTCAAATTTCGTATCCTTTATTTCGTGTTTCACCTTGTATATCTTTTTGTAATTCTGACCGTCGTGTGTGGATACGACGGAGTCTTTTTTTATATAATAGCTCACATTTTGTCGGAGCTGAAGATGGTTAAAGCTGCTTTTGGAAATTCGCCTATTCGCACCCAGTGGAACAGTGAAGAAAGATTTAGAAAGGCAACCGAGCACCACAGATTTTTGCTAAAGTATGAAGAACTAGTTTTTGAATTCTTTGTCTAAATGTGGTAATTTTAGGTTTACTGAATCCGTTGATCGTGTTTATTCGCTGATGCTGATGCATCAACAGTTTAGTTTTACTTTTGGTCTCTGTTTTGCCTCCTATCTTTTGATAGAAAATGGGTAAATTTCAGTTAATTTCAGGTTTGATTTCGACTAACTTTATTTTAGGATGCCACCGGACTTCGAACACTTGGTAAAATATTTGCCTTATATAATTTTGTATTTTTTGCAAGTGTGGATGTACTGCTTTATCGGTGATCTCATCTCATCTTGGGTATGTTATAAATCTGTGTTATTTGATATAAGTGTTATTTGCTACAATCTATATTTTAGTCACTGGAAATTTCCGATGAAGTATTTTACCAACACTGGCTTTTTAACACATCCCAAAGTAAACTGGGAACAATCATAGTAATGCAAAGATCTCAACGGCCCGCTTGTCTAACACTAGCGGGTTTCCGAAATTTGGACTTGAACAATTTCACAGTGGTGTGTATTAAAATGCCATTTTTGCTTTTTTCAGGTAGTTAAAAATATTATTCTTACACATTTTTTGTCTTCTGTAAACCTTATTTTTAACTACCTGACAATAAAACGTAATAGTTACGTAATAAACATTCATAATCTTTTTTAAGGTGGTGAAAAATGCAGCATCGTTTTTTACTTTTGTGAACACTATTGTGAATCAATAAAGTTATCTACAATGAACTGTTTACTGTTTTGTCAAAATAAATTCTTAATTAGAAACAAGAATAACTGTATTTTTTATTTAACAGCGACTTCGACGTTTCATGACTCCTAGAGTACGGAAAAATAGATCTTCCTTCCCGCAAAGGCCATTTAAATTTTATAAAATAGTTGTGGTTTATAAATCCGCCTTGCTTTTCACCAGGAGTCCAAATTTTCGCACAAAAAGCAATTTAATCACTCCTTACCCAGCTTGCTACATGCTTAATCGTTTTCTGCTTTCAATATATTTGACATTGTCAGTGCTTGTGCCACACATATCTTTATTTTAACTTACAGGGGTTGTCATAGAAACGAAATAAAATTGGCAGAATTATTTTTTTTATTTTCGAAGAAGCTTTATTTGTTCGAATGGACTTCAGGGGCGTGGGAAGTTCTATTTAAATAATTTGAGACTGATTTTTTTTTATCTCGTATAATCTAGAAGATTATTACGTGAATAGTCAAACCCGGAAATTAATTATATGTAGTACTTAAACTAAGAATGCACGTGTGTGTCATTAATACTAATAAATACATTATAGCTGGTAACGATAAGTTTTTTTAACATAAATGAATGTTCTTGGCAAATAAAGATACCGATTAGAAGTATGGAGAATGAATTATATCAATTTCAATTCATTTTTCATATTTACATCTACTAAATATGCGATTATACTCGTACAGAGAAATTTAATAAAAATCTTTCATATTTTTCTCTAATTATGCTTCTATGGTTAGATGCTAACCTCCAACTGCTAAAGTTGGAACTAATCATTTTAACCCTTCCTTCACTGTCTTTAGTACAGCTGTCTTATCCTCCTTTATTGTTATGAATCATTTCTTCTTTTCTTCGACTCCATTACCTCCCTTTCTGGTCTTCTTACCCAATGTTGAAACAGTTGAAAATTCTTTCTGTTGTTTGTTTCAGATATCTTAAAGATATAGTGACTAAATTCAATCCGTTTTCACTGATTTTTACTTTTTTTTTTATCTTTCATCTGAAGATTGAATTCATTGTAACAACTCGAGTCACTCTATGGGATATCTTTTGTATCTTCAACTTTCTTCATTGATAGAGTTTACCCTCAAAATTTTCGTCTTTCAAGTCATTTTTGAAAAGACCAATTCTAAAATTCTAGAACCTCGACTGAATTTCGTCAATCGTTTTAATTTTTCTTAAATTCCAGTCACAGTTTGTTCTTGAATTTCTTGTGTTATTGCCTTCTCCTACTCAAAGAAAAATTTCTTTTCGTCTGAATGTCTGCCGTCTGTCGTCTGTCGTCTGCCGCCTGTCCGCGTCTGCGTCGATTTTTATTAGACAGATAATCTTCTAAACTACCGGACCGCTTGTTGTCAAATCTTATATGTATATTAAGAAAATCGTGTAGATTAACCAAAATTTGTCCATTTACCAAAATTAGTCTCACCTTGACAGGTACTAGCCCCACCCACCCGGCCCTTATTTTCTTAAAGACTATGTCATTTGCCAAAATCAGCCTATCTTAGCAAGTGCTAGCACCGCCCACCCGCCCTTTATTTTCTCAGAGAAGTCATTTGACAAAATCAGTCGTATCTTAACAAGTACTAGCCCCGCCCACCTTTCTTCTCCTTTTCACTGATTTATTTTATTTACTGTATACTGGGAATTGAATTCTACTACAAATGACACCCTCCAAGAAAATAGAGGGCGGGTGGGCGGGCCTAGTATATGCTAAGATAAGACTAATTTGGCAAATGACATATCCTCAAAAAAAGAGGGGGTGGGTGGGCGGGGACAGTACTTGCTAAAGTAAAACTAAACAGTATTAAGAGTAGTCCTGGAATGAAGAGGGGGGTCAGTGGGCGGGCCTACTATTTGCTTATAAGACTCTTTAGAAAAAACCTAACTCCGCCGCGCCCACCTCTTTTCTCTATTTCGCTTACTTACTTATTTTATTTTCTGTAAAATGTAAAATTTTGACAAGCGGTAGAATCTAAGATTTAAAACAAAGTAAAAAGTGGCCTTGAAGAAAGAATTTCACGAGTTTTCAGTTTTTAATTATTCACTTTTCGATTTGTCAATTTTTGACGTCTTCAATTTTCCGAACTGCATTTTTTCAATTTTTCATTTTTTTTGTTAGTATTCGTTAAGATAAACTGATTTTGGTAAATGACATACCCTCCAAGAAAAGAGAGGGTGGGTGGGCGGGCCTAGTACATGCTAAGATAAGACTCATTTTGGCAGATGGCATGGACTTTAAGAAAATAGAGGCCGGGTGGGCGGGTCTAGTATTTGGTAAGGCAAGACTGCATAATAATAAGAATAGTCACTGGAATGAAGAGTTTCTCACTGGACGGGGCTACTGCTTAAGCAAAAAGCTAATCTCAGCTCCGCCCACCTTTTTTCTCTATTTCACTGACTTATTTTATTTACGGTACAGTGGGAATTAAATTATATTTTGACAAGTCGTAGAATCTAAGATTTAAAACAAGTTTAACTTTTTCTGCATAGTCAAGTAAAATTTTATAAAATAACATACTCCTCCACTTGTAGCTTATGAATCCGTGCAAGTTTTCAGAATAAAAAAAATCAAAACTGTATAAAAACATTTTACAATTTAACTTTGACTGCACTTTTTAAGGTTATCGGAAACATGGTAAAGTAAATCCGTTTATGAATTTTGTGATTTTCCGAAAAAGCTGAATATGTTTTATTGTATTTCAAAAAAAGTTCTGTCAAAATAACCCTTTGCCAATTTTTGAGTTTCAATCCTGAAATTCTCTGTTTTTACATATAACATTTTAATGAATGTCTAATTTCATAGTGTTACGAAAGAAACCCATACGCCGCCCCGGTACGACGTCTATGGGCCTTCTAGTATGTATGTGTTTATTCTGGTATCTACGGCGGTGATGGAAGCGGAAGTCGCGATGTACAACCCAGAAAACCCTCGAAGCGGCGTTCTCGAACTCACGAGATGAACGTATAGGTTTAAATAGAGGCCACCGCTGTGTAATAAGTAATCACTCGTGTAATTCGAGTTATTAAGAAATAAATTGTTGAGTTTAACCTACGCCGATTTTAAATCAACGATCATTGTAACAATATTTTGTCATCTTCCAAATTCTTTTGTTAGGTTTTTCTCGTAGTAAAACAAAATTACTAATATCCTAATTTTTGTGTACAAAATTCGTCTAGATTCTTCACGAACTGACTAGAATTCTGACTTTCTTCTTTCAGTTTCAATCCTGAAATTATAGCTTTTCGCTTGATTCATTTTGACAGATGTCTAATTTCATTTTAAGCTTCAATAACACCAAAGTGGCAATTTCCCTTTTCCGTCTGTCTGTCACCTGTCAACTATCTCCGAAATTACTGGAGTAATTGTTGTAAAATTTTAAAATAAAAAAATACTTACGTATTATGAAGACTTTCAAATTTAAAATTTTATTTTCTTCGTTGTACCCACTCAACTCGTACAAAAAGGAAACACTTTGGTATATAATGAGTATAATATTTTGACAATAGGTCTATTATGGGAAAAATAACCGAAATTATGGTTTTTTACTTCCCGAGCGTAAGCAAAGGAAGTATTGTAATCGAGTCCGTCGGCCGACTCTCTACTTTTACGTTTTCTCGATCTTTCATGACCCCTAGAAGACGAAGAAATAGGTCTCCCATTTCCGTCTGTCTGTCCGTCTGTCCGTCTGTCCGTCTGTCCGTCTGTCCGTCCGTCTGTCCGTCTGTCCGTCTGTCCGTCTGTTGTCACGGATTTTTATTAGACAGATAATCTCCGAAAGTACTCGACCGATTGTTGTGAAATTTTGTACTTATATTAAGAATATCATGTAGATGGTAAAACGCTAACCAAAATTTGTCGAATCATCCCCACCACTAAAGCGATGACGTCACTTCAAAATTGTACATAGTAAATGGGTTTTCAATTGTATAAAATAACATAGTCCTACACATGTAGTTTACAACTCTGAATCGACTTTTCACCCGAAACGTCCAGATTTTTGGAAAAAAAATCAAAATTATAAAACAACATTTTGAAATTTAATTTTTAATCTGCTAACCAGAATGCTTTGAAATGTTGCAGATGTTTTAAGGCTATAAAGAGCATCATAAATCTTTAGTCAAAAAATATTTGCTTATCCCCTCCAAAAACTTGATGACGTCAGCTCAAAAGTTTGTGGAATAAATCATATCTAAAATGTACAAAATATGATGAGTCTGTACTTGTGAACTATCACTCCATTCATATTTTTTGGATTTGCATATACAGGGTGACTCAAAAAAATTAATGAATGCGTAAATATATTTTATTGATTTAATCAGGAACTACAAAACCGAATGCTCTGAAATCTTGCAGATGTTTTAAGGTCATAAAGAGCATAATAAATGTTTAGTCAAAATATATTTGCTTATCCCCTCCAAAAACTTGATGACGTCAGCTCGAAAGTTTGCCGAATAAATCATATCTAAAATGTACAAAATATGATGAGCCTGTACTTGTCATTTATCACTCCATTCATATTTTTTGGATTTGCATATACAGAGTGACTCAAAAAAATTAATGAATGCGTAAATTTATTTTATTGATTTAATCAGGAACTACAAAACCGAATGCTTTGAAATCTTGCAGATGTTTTAAGGTTATAAAGAGCATAATAAATTTTTAGTCAAAATATATTTGGTTATCTTCTACAAAAAACTGATGACGTCAGCTCAAAAGTTTTCCGAATAAATCGTATCTAAAATGTACAAAATATGATGAGTCTGTACTTGTGATTTATCATTCCATTCATATTTTTGGATTTGCATATGCAGGGTGACTCAAAAAAAATTAATGAAGGCGTGAATTTATTTTATCGATTTAATCAGGAATTACAAAACCGAATGCTTTGAAATCTTGGGAATATTTTAAAGTTATTATAAGCATGGTAAACTTTTGTTCAAAATGTATTTGTTCATCCCTCCTAAAAAAATTGATGACGTCACCCTTAAATTTTGCTGAATAAATCCTCTCTAAAATGCAAAAAATATGATGAGTTTGTACTTGTGATTTATCATTCCATTCATATTTTTTAGATTTTCTTAAGAGGTGGTTCAAAAAAATTAATGAAGTCAATTTATTTTATTGATTAAATTAAAGGCAACACTTATTATTAGTATTACACCCCAACCAACCCAATTTGGTAGACACAAAATTTGTTAAAGGAAAAACTCGGTTGAAACATAAGGGTAGCACGCTTATTTACATCGACTTTAACATTACAGACCTGCATTTGTTTTATGCGTTCACTTGATTCCGCGAATGTGAAATAGACATGTTTATAATCAACCAATTGTGAATTTCACCGTCAAGAATTAAAATAAAACCCAATGTTTTATATAATAAGCGGAAGTCGAAGCAATAAAACCGACGGTCGTTTTGTTTACAGTTTCTGTGTTTGGTTCTCACGTATGCTGTTACGCCTGTCATCTTAAATTAAGAATGTTTATACATACACGATTTTCAGTTGCCTCTGATACGTAGGTATACGTGAGTAAATTGTTTCGTTATTTTATTGATTATTACAAATCAATATTCAAACGATCCAATTCATTTTCCCGAAAATTTGAGAATATAATAATTTTATTCTTAGTATTACACTACATCTATCCCAACTGATATACGTGTCCTTGCAAAAATGTTGATGACGTCATCGCAATTTTTTTTTAAATTCCCACTACAAAAATGTAACGAGAAAAAAAACACAATAGGCATGCAGTCGTCAAGTTTCCGACAGCGAGGGAAGTACTGTCTAAACTCTTTAGACCAATTTTCTTATAAAAATTTTAATATTAAATTATTTGTAATACCTGCTTTAAATTGTTTTTCTCTTTTTATTGTGACACAATAAGTCTTTTATATTTTTATCTAGTGATGTTTATTCCAAACAAAAAAAAATAATCAAAATCGAAAAAAAAAAAGAATTTTCGCTTAGTTCAAAAGAAATTAGAAATCAACAAAGCTCCAAAGCTCTGAAGAAATTACAGTGTCTATTTCTTTAATTTACTAATAATTTATAAATTTTTAAACCAATGCGCACACACGCAATATGCTATAATTTCATTGGTCTTTTGCCCATTGCCATTACAAGTAATAACACCACCATAAATAATTTCGGATTAGATTACAGTTCTGTTTTCACAAAAACATGACGATATTTTAACGTGACTATTCGATTCATAACTCGTTCCTGCTGCAGCGCAGTTCATTTGTGCAGTTATTACCATGAGTAAAGTACAGTTTTCAGAACCTTTGCGATTTTTAACCAGAATAGGGTTTAACCCTTTTCAGACAGACAATTTCTCACACATAAAGAAAGTTCTGTGTTTAATTATCTGCTTGTTTGTTGGGACGTCAATATGTTTAGAACTTTTCACCAACTTCAACAAGAACACAATGGTGCGAGCATTCGAAGTCCTACTTCCTTATTCCCAAGTAAAAAAAAATCACTGTGATTATTTTTGCAGACTTGTTTATTTGTTTCCAGATTTGGTGCAAATTTCTTGTTCTACTGAAGCACTCGAAAAAAATAAAAGTTCTTATTAAAGAAAGCGAAAAATTTTGGCCCTTACATATGTTTGGAGAACTTTATCAACGTCCTAATTCCAAATATCATCGAATTTTGGAAACATGTTTTCGATTCTACCGGCGTTTAGTTTTTGTTGTGCTTGCTCAGTACGCAACATCTGCCATAGTTAGCCATAAACCCATGATATTAAGTTATGGAGAAACACAAGGTCTAGAGTTGCGACTTTGGCTCTTCTATTTTAGTGCTCATACTCTCTATATTACTGTAATGTTCTATATCGTGTTGGGATTTGATGGGCTATTTTTTTACATGGTGGGCCACATTTTATCAGAAATGAAGTTGATTAAGGTTGCTTTTGAAAACTCTAACATTCAGCCGCAGTGGAACCACGAAAAAAGATTTCGAAGGGCAACTGAACACCACATATTTGTGTTACAGTTGTGTGAAGTTAACGTTTTGAATTCGTTGTCTAATTATCTTTATTTCAGGTTTGTGGAAAGTGTTAACAAAGTATATTCCTTTATGCTGCTGTGTCAACAGTTTTGTTATATTTTTGCCTTGTGTTTTGCTTCTTATCTCTTGCTTGAAAATGGGTGAGGAGCAAAAATGTAATTTTGTAAGTTGGTTTAAATTTACTTTTTGTTTTGAGGATGCCGCCGGATTATCAGCAAATAACAAGATATGTTCCTTATATTGTGACGTATTGTTCAGGACTGTGGATGCTCTGTTTTGCAGGTGATCTCATTACTTCTTGGGTAAGTTGTAGAATTTCTAAAATATATGACAAAAAACTTTGGTTTTTGGGATACCGAAATGTGGATGGTTTTTCAGTCACTGGAAATTACAGATCAAGTATTTTACGAGGACTGGCTTCTGCCCAGAACATACCAAAATATAATGGATAAAATCGTAATAATACAAAGAAGTCAACGTTCTGCACGTATAACACTGGGGGGTTTTCGAAATCTGGATTTGCAAAACTTTACAGTGGTTGGTATTGGGTATCAACCCGATTTTAAGCATCGTCAGTACCTCAGTAGGTACATAAAAATAATATTTTTTAGGTTATGAAAAGTGCAGCATCGTTTTTTACTTTTGTAAATACCATGGTAAATAAATGAAGCTAGCGTAACTATTTCCCTATCTAGATGACAGTAGATTTTGGTTATGTATGTTCAATAATGTTCTATAGTCGTAAATAAAATTTTTCATCAAGTGAGTAAATTTGTGTTAAGCATTGTATTTAGTTTCATTACCCTTTTTTCTCCTTTTAATCCAATAAACATCGTCTCTCACATTCAGTAGCTACGTGAATGTTAGCGACTGAAGGGTTAATTTTGAAGACCGAGCATGAAATCTGAGTATGAGAAAATATTTCCGACAATATTTTTACTTCCCGAGCGTAAGTTAAGGAAGTATTGTAATCGAGTCCTACTTTCATCTTTACTCGACGTTTTTTTTTTATAAACGCGAACTTTAAGCTTTTTCTATTTTTTGATAATCTCATTTCCCGATTTCTCGACTTTTCGATCTTTTTTATTTCTTCCATTTTCCGATTTTTAAGTTTTTCAGTTTTTCAAATTTTTTAAATATTTGACTCTTTGATTTTTCAAATTTTCCATTTTACGACTTCGATTTCTCGATTTTTTTCCGTGCGTAAGCGAAGAAGGTATTGTAATCGAGTCCATCGGTTGACCCTCTCCTTATTTCAATTTTTCAGTGTTTCAGTTTTGGGATTATTTGCACTTTTAAATTTTTTTTAATTTATTGATTTTCGAGTTTTATTTTATTTATTTATCCATTTATCAATTTTTCGATATTTAAGTTTTAGTTCCCATTTTTCGATTTCTGGATTTCTCGGTTTTTTCATTTTTTGATTTTTCAAATTTCGAACTTCTTGTCTTTGATTTTTCGATTTTTCAATTTCCCGATTTTATAATGTTTCGATTTCTCGATTCTTCGCTTTATCGAATATTAAATTTTTCGATATTTTAATTCTTCAATGTCTTAAATTTTACATTTTTCGATATTTCAGTTTATACATTTTTTAATGTTCTGATTTCTCGATACTACGATTTTTCGGCTTCTCGGTTCTTAAATTTTTTGGTTTCCAATTTTTTTTGATTTTTCAAGATTTCGATGTTTCGATTGTTCAGCTTCCCAATTTTTTGATTTTTCAGATTTTCAGTTTTTCGGTTATTCAATTTTCCAATTTCCCAATTTTTCTACATTTCAGTTTTTGGGAATTTTCGATTTCTTACTTTTACAATTTATCTAGTCTTCAATTTTTCGTTTTTTTTAAATTTTTGAATTCTCCAGTTTTCGATTTCTCGTTTTTTCGTTTTTTGAATTTTCGATTTTCGATTGTTCAGGTTTTCATTTTCTCAATTGTTTTATTTTGGGATTTTTTTTTATTTCTGGAATTTTCAGCCTTTCATGTTTTTTAACTTTAAGATGTTGTGGTTTGCCGATTTCTTTATTTTTCGATTGCTCAGTTTTTCGCTTATCTAAATTTTGATTTTTCGATTTTTAAAATTCTCAAATTTTTCGATTTTTCAATTTTTCGATCTTTTCAAAATGTTTTAATTCGATATCTCAGTTTTTCGGTTTTTAAAATTTTACATTGTCAAATCAATAAGATTTTCTCATGTTCCGTTTTCCAAGTCTTTTAATATTTCAGTTTTTCGATATTTTGAATTGTCGATTTCTCGACATCTCGGTTTTTCGATTTCTCAATTTTTCAACAATTGAATTTTGGGAATTTTTCAATTTCCGACCAAAAATATTGCATACATATGTATAAGAGTTCTATAATAAATAATTTTGCTTAGCCCTTTGTTCTTTGTCTTCGTAACGCCACCATAAATAATTTTTGATAAAATTATAGTTCCGTTTTTTTAAATATTGGGTTAATTCACTACGATTGTGCTATTAATAACTTATTTAAAAGCCAGTTCTGCGGCGAGAATTCAGTTCATCTACGAAGTACGATGGCCAAAGTACAGTTTTCAGAACCTCTACGATTTGTAATAAACTTAGGACTTAGCCCTTATCAAACAGAAAATTCGTCATGTATCAAGAGAATTTTGTCTGTTATTATTTATCAATGTGTGGTGATTTAGTCATGTTTGGAGTTGTCAACGAATTTTAATAAAGCTACAATTATTCGTGGGTGCGAACTGTTAAGTCCCTACCACCAGGTAACAAAACATTATTTATTATACTCGTAGTACAATTTTCGCTTACAGGTCGCATGCAGATTTTTCGTTGTCACTAAACACAAGAACAAACTAAAAGTGATTCTAAAGGAAAGCGCACACTTTTGGGAATTGGACGAATTTGGAGACCCTCACGACAACACGAATTCGAAAATTCATAAACTTTTAGAGAAAAGTTTTCAAATGTATAGGCGCTTGTTATATTTTTCAGCTGTACAATACATACTGGGTGCGATTTTTAACGAACAACCAATGACGCTGAGTTACGGTGAAACCCATGGTCTGAACTTCAAATTTCGTATCTTTTATTTCGTGTTTCACCTTGTATATCTTTTTGTAATTCTGTCCGTCGTGTGTGGATACGACGGAGTGTTTTTTTATATAATAGCTCACATTTTGTCGGAGCTGAAGATGGTTAAAGCTGCTTTTGGAAATTCGCCTATTCGCACCCAGTGGAATAGTGAAGAAAGATTTAGAAAGGCAACCGAGCACCACAGATTTTTGCTAAAGTATGAAGAACTAGTTTTTGAATGCTTTATCTAAATGTGGTGATTTTAGGTTTACTGAATCCGTTGATCGTGTTTATTCGCTGATGCTGATGCATCAACAGTTTAGTTTTACTTTCGGTCTCTGTTTTGCCTCCTATCTTTTGATAGAAAATGGGTAAATTTCAGTTAATTCCAGGTTTGATTTTGACTAACTTTCTTTTAGGATGCCACCGGATTTCGAACACTTGGTAAAATATTTGCCTTATATAATTTTGTATTTTTTGCAAGTGTGGATGTACTGCTTTATCGGTGATCTCATCTCATCTTGGGTATGTTATAAATCTGTGTTAGAAATAAGTGTTATTTGCTACAATCTATATTTTAGTCACTTGAAATTTCCGATGAAGTATTTTACCAAGACTGGCTTTTTAACACGTCCCAAAGTAAGCTGGGAACAATCATAGTAATGCAAAGATCTCAACGGGCCGCTTGTCTAACACTAGCGGGTTTCCGAAATTTGGACTTGAACAGTTTCACAGTGGTGTGTATTAAAATGCCATTTTTGCTTTTTTCAGGTAGTTAAAAATATTATTCTTACACATTTTTTGTCTTCTGTAAACCTTATTTTTAACTATCTGACAATAAAACGTAATAGTTACGTAATAAACATTCATAATCTTTTTTAAGGTGGTGAAAAATGCAGCATCGTTTTTTACTTTTGTGAACACTATTGTGAATCAATAAATAATAATAATAATAATAATAATAATAACCTTTATTGCCCAACAGATAACCCTATTACAGGACAATATAAATCAATAATAAATAAAAATAAAAAATTAAATAAAATAACTAACAATTTAAGGATCGTAAGGATCAAAACCAACACACTATGCCTACCATGCAATACGTGTATAATTAAATTAACATTAATAATAAAAACAACAATTTAACGCAGCTGATTCATTTTACAAAAAAATACATCATCATAAAACTTTTTCACATTCTGATACATATGTTCCAGTGGGGCTTTACGTAGTTGATTTGTTCTTGGTATTGAAGGCAGAAATGAAGATGCATGACGTGAGACGATACGTGGTACGTGAAAATTAACATTGGCCAATAAAATAGGACAGTCAATTTTTCCCTGAATTAAATTCCATAAAAAATTAGCACTGTACAATTGTCTTCTGCTACTTAAGCTATGAATTTGGTGTCGTGCTAATAACAAATTATATTCTATTCCCCTAATTGGATAGATTCCATCTATTCTAAACGATAAACATTTTAAAAAACGACGTTGAACTTTTTCTATGGCAAGTCTATGTGATTCATAATACGGATACCAGATAATAGACCCATACTCTAGTTTACTTCGAACAAATGAGAAGTATAACATTTTCATTAGTTGTGGGTCAGTGAAATCTTTTGTAAGTCGAAATGTAAAGCCAAGCATTTTCGAAGAAGATAGACATATATTATGCATATGTTGAGTAAACGATAAATGTGAGTCAAATGTGATACCTAGATCTTTTACTAACTGTATTTTTTTAATTGATTTATCGTTTATAAGATACGAAAAGCAAACTGGATTTAATTTTTTTGTATAGGTCATAATGAAACATTTATCAGTATTTAATAGTAATTTGAATTCTTTGCACCAGTCTACCATCCTTTCAAGATTATTTTGAAGCAAAATGCTATCATCTAAGCATCTTATTGAGGAGTATAGTTTTATATCATCAGCATATGCTAACACTTTACAACGTAATGAGTCCAAAAGATCGTTGACAAACACTACAAAAAGTAAAGGCCCTAAATTAGACCCTTGTGGCACTCCAGAGGTGGAAACAAAATTTTTAGATTGAAAACCATTGTAGAAAACATAATTTTGTCGGGAGTCAAGGTAAGACTCCATTAGCTTTAAGAAACTATATGCAAATCCAAACCAACTTAATTTACATAAAAGAACATGATGATCAATGGAATCAAACGCACAGGAAAAATCAGTATAGACGACATCGACTTGTCCATTCTTATCTATTTGTTGTGAAATGAATTGACTTATTATAGCTAAATTAGTGATTGTAGATCGTCCAGGTAAAAATCCATGTTGATGTATAGAGATGAGACTTTTAACATTGTGATAAATATTTCTATAAATGAGTATCTCAAAAATTTTAGCAAAATTCGAAAGTATAGAAATAGGTCTGTAGTTTTTTATCATAGAAGCATCACCTTTTTTGTATACGGGAGTAATTCTGGCTATCTTCCAAGTGTCAGGGAAGGTGGATGATTTTATAGCTAAGTTAAAAATTGTAGTAAGAGGTCTAGCCAATGCGAATCTTGTGTCACGTATAATAAAACTAGGTATTAGGTCATCACCAGCAGTTAATTTGTTAGGGAAAGATGACATAACAGACAAAACTTCTTCTTCAGAAACATTTTGCATTATAAAGGAGGAATTATTTGTGACAACATCAGTAAGTGAAACATCAAGTTTGGATTTGTACATGCTTGAAAAATTTTCTGCAAATATATCTACTATTTGTTGAGGATGGTCATATTCATTTCCATTATGTGACAGTTTCCCAGGAATGCGAGTCGTACCTTTTTTTGCCTGAGCATATTTCCACATATTTTGAGGACAGGTATACAACGACTGCTCAATTGAACTAAGGTAAGCTTGATAAGCTGAATTTATTAACTGCTTGCAAATAGCCCGAAGTCTTTTAAACTCACTATGATAAAACTCACTAGATGTTTTTTTCCATTTCTTCCTATAATAATCTTTCAGTTTCAAAGTGGATATTAAATTCTTATTAAACCAAGAAGGGTACGTTGATTTAACTACATGAAACTCAGGAACAGAAGAGTGTAAGATACTGTATAATTTATCGTAGAAAAGATTCACACAGGCATTCACGTCATTGGTAAAGCTTAGAGAAGACCAGTCAGTAACAAGAATATCATTATATAAATTTACGTAATTAGCTTTCCTGAAATTATATCTTAAGTTGTTACCAGATGGAAAATTACTAACTTTTGCAGAGTTGGGAAATTTCACAATCATTGACAAAGAGGGATGGTGTATATCTTCTGGTACAATTGGGTAATTTTCATGAGATACGTTAACTGAACCATCAAAATTTGACAAGATTAAGTCCAAAAGTCTGTTGTGGGTATTAAATATGCAATTATGCTGAATAAAATTTAGGGAACTGGAAAAAGTTGAAAATACGTGGTTTTTACTGCCTGGTGTATTATAAGTTAAATTATTGTTAAAATTTGCCAAGTTAAAATCTCCAATAAACAGTGTGGGCTTGTTCAATAATAATATTTCCAGAGCTTCAAAAAATGACTCAAACTCACTACATGAGATATTTGGAGGAATATAAACAGCTGCTAAATAAAACTGAAAAGTATTACAAAAACAATTACATACAATCAAGTCTATAGCGGGTACTAATTCTGCAATACACGTCGTGTCTACTACAGAATATGTAACAGTTTTGGAAAATAAAATTAATACTCCACCACCAATAATTCGATCAATTATTGAACATTTTCTATCATTTCTGATTACATTATAAAAAGATGGACACAGTTCAGAATTAAGAAACGAATCATTTAGCCAAGTTTCCGTTATAATTATTACATAAAAAAAACATTCAGATACATTTTTATAAAACGATTGGAGTTTAGACCTTAATCCACGCACATTTTGGTAATATATTTCAATCGAAACCAGTGACCTGTTAGGCGAAGTTAGTTTAACGAAGAAACAATGTTAGGAATTCCATTTTTGTAATTGATCCGCAGATTAGATTCCCCATTAGCCAGACGTTGATGCAGTTCATTTCTAATATTACGATGGATTTCTAACTGCATAGGTGTGCGATCTTTCGATAGATAAATGTTTTTCCAGTTGTTAGAGGTCTTTAACTGTTTTGAAGCTCGTAGAACCAACATAACAGAATTTTCAGAATGCAGTGTTACTCTAATTGGACGACGTCTATCATCTTTGGTTGCATCAAATTTTCCAAGTCTGCTAATTTTTAAATTGTCCGTATCATTAATACCCAAACTCGACAACATATCTTTAACAAAGACCGTATCAACATTCAACTGCTCAGCATTAGTTTTACACTTTCCTTCAGTACATCCGTAAATAATTACATTATTCTTGCGTCTCTCCCTTTCCGAGACCTCATTGACAATTTTCTCGGTTTCAATCAAAGAAAAAGTTGTAGACTGAACCGGTGTGGAGACTTGAGTCTTCAAAATTTTGATTTCATCCTGCAACGCAACAATTGCAGCTTTTAAGCCGTTTATATCGTTACCTAACTGAGCACACATTTTGCACGTCCATGATAGGCCAGATTTCTGATGAATTTTTCTCGCTTCAGTATTCGTTACATCAACGCAATCTATTTTATAAGATTTGCTACATATACAACAATTGACAATTTTATGAGGTTCAGCACTTTTGCCACAACAAGTACAAAGATTCATTATCTTAAGTTGATACTAACTGGAAATGACAGGGACACACTTTTCACGCTAACGGTGCCTATCGTAGCGACTTAAAAAAAAGAACACACAGGGGTGAAAAAGGCAACGGTGAGGGTTGATAGAATTATGAAAACAGTAGGAGCAAATTTAAATCATGTAGTATTGTACTTGACAGCAAGAAATAAGTTGAGTGATAAGAACAAGTACTTGCAAAAAGAGTCTTAAAAACAAGAATAAGAAGTAGATTACCTATTAGTAGCAATTCCCAAAACACCAATCCATTGAGAACGTCATGAGCAATGCACTGATGTAAAAATTAATAATAAACTCCAATAATAAACCATGGAATCTTTGGTCAAAGTTACGAATTCACACAAGTACGTATCGCACGGTCAACTCCTTGTCAAGTACTTAAAGTTATCTACAGTGAACTGTCTACTGTTTTGTCAAAATAAATTCTTAATTAGAAACAAGAATAATTGTATTTTTTACTTAACAGCGACTTCGACGTTTCATGACTCCTAGAGTACGAAAAAATAAATCTTCCTTCCCGCAAACGCCATTTAAATTTTATAAAATAGTTGTGGTTTATAAATCCGCCTTGATTTTCACCAGGCGTCCACATTTTCGCACAAAAAGCAATTTAATCACTCCTTACCCAGCTTGCTACATGCTTAATCGTTGTCTGCTTTCAAAATATTTGACACTGTCAGTGCTTGTGCCACACATATCTTTATTTTAACTTACAGGGGTTGTCATAGAAAAGAAATCAAATTGGCAGAATTATTTTTTTTAATTTCGAAGAAGCTCTATTTGTTCGAATGGACTTCAGGGGCGTGGGAAGTTCTATTTAAATAATTTGAGACTCTTTTTTTATTTCGTATAATCTAGAAGATTATTACGTGATTAGTCAAACCCGGAAATTGATAATATGTAGTACTTAAACTAAGAATGCACGTGTATGTGATTAATACTAATAAATACACTATAGCTGGTAACGATAAGTTTTTTTAACATGAATGAATGTTTTTGGCAAATAAAGATACCGATAAGAAATATGAAAAATGTGGAGAATGAACTATATCAATTTCATTTCATTTTTCATATTTACATCTACTAAATATGCGATTATACTCGTAAAGAGAAATTTAATAAAAATCTTTCATATTTTTCTCTAATTATGCTTCTATGTTTAGATGCTACCCTCCAATTGCTAAAGTTGGAACTAGTAATTTTAACCCTTCCTTCACTGTTTTTAGTACAGCTGTCTTATCTTCCTTTATTGTTATGAATCATTTCTTCTTTTCTTCGACTCCATTACCTCCCTTCTGGTCTTCTTACCCAATGTCGAAACAGTTGAAAATTCTTTCTGTTGTTTGTTTCAGATATCTTAAAGATATAGTGACTAAATTCAATCCGTTTTCACTGATTTTTACTTTTTTTTTTATCTTTCATCTGAAGATTGAATTCATTGTAACAGCTCGAGTCACTCTATGGGGTATCTTTTGTATCTTCAACTTTCTGCATTGATAGAGTTCACTCTCAAAATTTTCGTCTTTCAAGTCATTTTTGAAAAGATCAGTTCTAAAATTCTAGAACCTCGACTGAATTTCGTTAATCGTTTTAATTTTTCTTAAATTCCAGTCACGGTTTGTTCTTGAATTTCTTCTGTAATTACCTTCTCCTACTCAAACAAAAATTTTCAGGATTGTAATTTCTTGAAACGCCATACTGGATTCAAAATTTATCGATTTGTTGCTATTTTTGTTTTCTTGAGGGTTCGTGACCCCTAGAAAAAGAAAACGTAGCTCTTTCTTTTCCGTCTGTCTGTCTGCCGTCTATCGTCTGTCGTCTGTCGTCTGCCATTAGACAGATAATCTTCTAAACTACCGGACCGCTTGTTGTTAAATCTTATATGTATATTAAGAAAATCGTGTAACAAAAATTTGTCCATTTACCAAAATTAGTCTCACCTTGACAGGTACTAGCCCCACCCACCCGCCCTTTATTTTCTTGAAGAATATGTCATTTACCAAAATCAGTCTATCTTAGCAAGTGCTAGCACCGCCCACCCAACCTTTATTTTCTCAGAGAAGTCATTTGACAAAATAAGTCTTATCTTAACAAGTACTAACCACCTTTTTTCTCCTTTCCACTGACTTATTTTATTTACTGTATAGTGGAAATTGAATTCTACTACAAATGACACCCTCCAAGAAAATAAAGGGCGGGTGGGCGGGCCTAGTATATGCTAAAATAAGACTAAGTTTGGCAAATAACATATCCTCAAAAAAAAGAGGGGGCGGGTGGGCGAGGATAATACTTGCTATCATAAAACTGAACAATATTAAGATTAGTCCTGGAATGAAGAGGGGTTCGATGGGCGGGGCTACTATTTGCTTATAAGACTCTTTACAAGAAAGCTAAACTCCGCCCCGCCCACCTTTTTTTCTCTATTTCGCTCACTTACTTATTTTATTTTCTGTAAAATGTAAAATTTTGACAAGCGGTAGAATGTAAGATTTAAAACAAAGTAAAAAGTGGTCCTTCCCATTATTCTTATTGGCTTTGAAGGAAAGAACTTCACGAGTTTTTAGTTTTTAATTATTCATTTTTCGATTTGTCAATTTTTGACGTCTTCAATTTTTCGAAGTACGTTTTTTCAATTTTTTTTTTTTGTTAGTATTCGTTAAGATAAACTGATTTTGGTAAATGGCATACCCTCTAAGAAAAGAGAGGGCGGGCAGGCGGGCCTAGTATTTGCTAAGGTAAGACTGCATAATAATAACTGTCACTGGAATGAAGAGGTTGTCAGTGGGCGGGGCTACTGCTTCAGCAAGCAGTAACCTACTGAGCAGTAGACTCTTAAGAAAAAAGCTAAACTCAGCTCCGCCCACCTTTTTTCTCTATTTTACTGACTTATTTTATTTACTATACAGTGGGAATTGAATTATATTTGGACAAGCGGTAGAATCTAAGATTTAAAACAAGTTTAACTTTTTCTACATAGTTTTTATAAGCAAGCAACACGTCCGCCCACCCTCCCCCTCTTCATTTTGGTGAGTACGCTTAATACTGTTAATTAATTACAGCAAAAAGTATGGAAAAAATGAAAGCGAAAATGCCAAAGAAATTTAATTGGATATGTTAGAGGGCAGAAAGGGAAAATAAGGAAGGAAAAACTAAAGGAAAATAACAATGGACGCAGTATAAGAAAGGGAAGAATTCAAGATGAACTGCAGTGAAGAAGAAGGATTAATGACATATATGGACCATCATATTGAAAAAACGTTAATATGACGTCATCTCCAACTTTTACAATAGTAAAAGTTATTTAAATTTTATAAAATAGCATATTCCTCTACTTGTAGCTTATAAATCGTGCGAGTTTAAAAACATTTTACAATTTAACTTTGAAATTGCACGTTTTAAGGTTATCGGAAACATAGTAAAGTAAATCAAAATGTATCCGTTTACCAATTTTGTGATTTTTTGAGAAAGCTGAATATGTTTTATTGTATTTTAGTGGTGAGGAAAGTTCTGTCAAAATAACCCTCGGCCAATTTTTGAGTTTCAACCCTGAAATTCTCTGTTTTTACATATTACATTTTAATGAATGTCTAATTTCATAGTGTATCTACGGCGGTGATGGAAGCGGAAGCCGCGATGTGCAACCCAGAAAACCCTCGAAGCGACGTTCTCGAACTCCCACTAAATAGAGGCCACCGCTGTGTAATAAGTAATCACTCGTGTAATTCGAACTGTTAAGAAATAAATTGTTGAGTTTAACCCGATTTTAAATCAACGATCATCGTAACAATATTTTGTCATCTTCTAAATTTTGCTGTTAGGTTTTTCTAGTAGTAAAACAAAATTATTAATATCCTAATTTTTGTGTACAATATTCGTCTAGATTCTTCACGAACTGACTAGAATTCTGACTTTCTTCTTTCAGTTTCAATCCTGAAATTCTAGCTTTTCGCTTGATTCATTTTGACAGACGTCTAATTTCATTTTCAGCTTTAATAATACTAAAGTGGCAGTTTCGTTTTTCCGCCTGTCTGTCACCTGTCAACTATCTCCGGAATTACTGGAGTAATTGTTGTAAAATTTTAAAATAAAAAAATACTTACGCATTATGAAGACTTTCAAATTTTAAATTTTATTTTCTTCGTTGTATCTACTCAACTCGTACAAAAAGGAAACACTTTGTTATATAATGAGTATAATATTTTGACAATAGGTCTATTATGTGAAAAATAACCGAAATTACGGTTTTTCTTATAAAAATTTTAATATTAAAATATTTGCAATATCTGCTTTAAATTGTTTTTCACTTTTTATTGTGACACAATAAGTCTTTTACATTTTTATCTAGTGATATTTATTCCAAACAAAAAAAAAACAATCAAAATTGAAAAAAAAAAATAAGAATTTTCGCTTAGTTCAAAAGAAATTAGAAATCAACAAAGCTCCAAAGCTCTGAGGAAATTACAGTGTCTATTTCTTTAATTTACTAATAATTTATCAATTTTTAAACCAATGCGCACACACGCAATATGCTATAATTTCATCGGTCTTTTGCCCATTGCCATTACAAGTAATAACACCACCATAAATAATTTCGGATTAGATTACAGTTCTGTTTTCACAAAAACATGACGATATTTTAACGCGACTATTCGATTCATAACTCGTTCCTGCTGCAGCGCAGTTCATTTGTGCAGTTATTATCATGAGTAAAGTACAGTTTTCAGAACCTTTGCACTTTTTAACCAGAATAGGGTTCAACCTTTTTCACACAGACAATTTCTCACACATAAAGAAACTTCTGTGTTTAATTCTCTACTTGTTTGTGGGGACGTCAATATGTTTAGAACTTTTCACCAACTTCAACAAGGACACAATGGTGCGGGCATTCGAAGTCCTGCTTCCTTATTCCCAAGTAAAAAAAAATTACTGTGATTATTTTTGCAGACTTTGTTTATTTCCAGATGTGGTGCAAATTTCTTGTTCTACTGAAGCACTCGAAAAAAATAAAAGTTCTTATTAAAGAAAGTGAAAAATTTTGGCCCTTACATATGTTTGGAGAAGTTTATCAACGTACTAATTCCAAATATCATCGAATTTTGGAAACATTTTTTCAATTATACCGGCTTTTACATTTTGTTGTGTTTGCGCAGTACGCAACATCTGCCATAGTTAGTCATAAACCCATGATATTAAGTTATGGAGAGACACAAGGTCTAGAGCTGCGACTTTGGATCTTCTATTTTAGTACCCATACTCTCTACATTATTGTAATGTACTATCTCGTGTTGGGATTTGATGGGTTATTTTTTTACATGGTGGGCCACAGTTTAACAGAAATGAAGATGATAAAAGTCGCTTTTGGAAACTCTAACATTCAGGCGCAGTGGAACAACAAAAAAAGATTTCGAAGGGCAACTGAGCACCACATATTTGTGTTACAGCACGTGAAGTTGACGTTTCGAATTCGTTGTCTATTTATCTTCATTTCAGGTTTGTGGAAAGCGTTAACAAAGTGTATTCCTTCATGTTGCTGTGTCAACAGTTTTGTTATATTTTTGCCTTATGTTTTGCCTCTTATCTCTTGCTCGAAAATGGGTAAGTAACAAAAATATAATTTTGTAAGTTTGTTTAAATTTTGTTTTGAGGATGCCGCCGGATTTTCAACAAATATCAAGATATGTTCCTTACATTACGACGTATTGTTCAGGACTTTGGATGCTCTGTTTTGCAGGTGATCTCATTACTTCTTGGGTAAGTTGTAGAATTTCTAAAATATATGACAAAAAACTTTGGTTTTTGAGATACTGAAATGTAGATGGTTTTTCAGTCACTGGAAATTACAGATCAAGTATTTTACGATGACTGGCTTCTACCCAGTACATATCAAAATATAATGGATAAAATCGTAATAATACAAAGAAGTCAACGTTCTGCCGGTATAACACTGGGGGGTTTTCGAAATCTGGATTTGCAAAACTTTACAGTGGTTAGTATTGGATACCAACCCGAATTTAAACATCATCAATACCTCAGTATATAAAAATAATATTTTTTAGGTTATGAAAAGTGCAGCATGGTTTTTTACTTTTGTAAATACAATGATAAATAAATGAATCTAGGGTAAATATTTCCGTATCTAGACGACGGTAGATTTTGGTTATGTATATATAATCGATAATGTTCTGTAGCCGTAGAAAATCCAAAATAAATTTTCTTGCATTTCCCACTGTAAACAAAATTTTGTATCAAGTAAGTAAATTTGTGTTATGCATTGTATTTAGTTTCATTACTCTTTTTTTCCTTTTAATCCATCGTCTCTCACATTCAGTAGCTATGTTACCGACTCAAGGGTCAGTTTTGCAGACTGACCATGAAATCTGAGTATAATGAGAGAACATATTATGCAAAATTTTTACTTCCCGAGCATAAGTTAAGGAAGTATTGTAATCGAGTCCTACTTTCGTCTTTATTCGACGTTTTTTTTTGTCAAATTTTCCATGGATGTTAGCAATATCATGTAGATGGCAAAACGCGAATTTTCAGCTTTTTCAATTTTTTGATAATCTCATTTCCCGGTTTCTCGACATTTCGATGTTTCTATTTTTCAATTTTTATTTCTTCCATTTTCCAGTCTTTGAGTTTTTCAGTTTTCCGATTTTTTTAAATCTTTGATTTTTCGATTTTTCAAATTTTCCATTTTGCGGCTTCGATTTCTCGATTTTTTTTCCGTGCGTATGCGAAGAAGGTATTGTAATCGAGTCCATCGGTCGACTCTCTCCTTTTTTCAATTTTTCAGTGTTTCAGTTTTGGGGTTATTTAAATTTTTAAAAATTGTTTAATTTACCGATTTTCCGATTTTTGGACTTCGATTTCTCGACAACAGTTTTTCGAATTTTCAGTTTTAGGATTTTTCAATTTGTCTTCGAGTTTTATTTTATTTATTTATCCATTTATCAATTTTTCGATATTTAAGTTTTAGTTTCGATTTCTCACTTTTTCAGCATTTGAATTTTGAGATTTTTTCAATTTCCGACCAAAAATATTGCATACATATAACAGTTCTAAAATAAAACTTAATAATCTTGAAGTGAAATTTATAGAAACTGGACTCTTGATATAAAGCTTCAATTACATAAGTTATTGCTTTTCAGAGCGGTTTAAGTTAAGGGAAGGTATTTTAAAAATTGATATTTTATCAATATCTGAATGTTTTCTTCGACTTAGCGTCAATTTTAATTAGATATAGATAATCTTAGAAAAATATTGTCAAATTTTATGTGGTTGTAGTGTACGAGTAGATGGTAAAATTCTGTTATATTTAAACAAGTACCAAAATCTACTAGAAATTTCTGAAAAATCTGATACGTAAATTAAAGCAATATATAAAAAAAAATTGCCGTTTTAAAAATGTAATAAAAAAAACTTCCCTCAATAAACAGTTATATTTTGATAAAGAATTTACCATGCTCACAATAATAATATTTGGAAGTATAGAGTTTTTCAATTCTTGATTTATTCAATGAAATAAATTGACTGATTCATTTTTTTTTTGAGTCGCCCTGTATCTAAAAATCTAAAAAATATGAATGTAATGATAAATTACAAGTGTAGACTGATCATATTTTGCACATTTTAGATAAGATTTATTCGGCAAAATTTTGAGATGACGTCATCAATTTTTTGGGGTTAATAAACAGATACATTTTGATTAACAAGTTACCTTGCTTACAATAACGGCAAAACGTCTACAGCTTTCAAAGTATTTAGTTTTGCAATTCTCGATTTAATAAAAAAATAAATTGATTCAGTCGGACTCGGTTTTTTTTTTATATACGATTTGCTATAAAATTTATGTCTTATTTTGTGTACTTGATCTGACTTGACCGAACGTGATCTGACCTGTTCTGAACTCGCTAGTGTCTCAAAGAAACACATTTTTAACATTTCTGTGGATATATAAAAACTACAAAGTACATCTTTAAAATAGTTGTACTTTGTGAAATAAAAATTAATAATAAATTCCTTTTTTATCTACAAAAATTTCATAGCAAGCTATTTTGACGGAACTGTAAAATTGTTGTATTTCAATTGGCGATTTTGCAAAAACTGCAGAAATTTTCGAAGAAACTAAGCAAAACACAAATTCTTGCAAAATTGTCGAAAATGTCAAAATTGAGCGTTTGGAAAAGTTGTCCAAATATTCTCAAAAAAATCTGAAATGTAGACCTTAACATGCTGATTCGTTGAAAAATGGTCAAAAATATCAAAAATGCCAAAATCAGTCTTATTACTATAAAATGCTAGTCCCACCCACCCGCCCTCTATTTTCTTGGAGGATATGTCAACTGTCAAAATTAGTCTTAAGTAAGTACTACCCCACAGAGAAATTATTATAATAAAAACTAAGTAGCCTTGCTGACCGCTCATTCGTAATTGTTTTTATGACACTAAATTATTTAAGAACAGAACATTCAGAATGCGAGTGCAGCGAGCACATTTAGGTGTTGTTTAAAACTATGTTTCGGTGTCCCTGAGAAGCTAAATTATTATTAATAAGATGATTTTTTAGTCCTAAAAGTGAATCTTGAAAATGTTTGTGAATATTAAAATTGGAAATCTCCAACAACCTAAACGTGCTCGCTGCGCTCGCATTCTAAAGGTCTTTTTTTAAGTAATAAATCTAGAGATTCCATAATATCCAATTTTAGTTTCATAGTTAAATTGGAAACTGTGAAAAAGGAAAACCATATTGAACTTGAAGAAAATAAATACTAAGAATTCTTAAAAACGAGAAAAGTTCTGGTTACGATAAGATTAATCCAAGGAGAAGGACTAAGTCCACTACTATTTACAATATAGATCGACAAAGCAATAAAAAAATGTAAACAAAAGTAATGGAAAAGCAATACCAAGACCGACATTAACATTTGAATACGAAACATGGGTACTAAACCCAAAAACAAAAAAGCAGAATACAGGAGATAGAGATGAAATTTTTGAGAAGACTCAAAGGAGCAACAACTTAATGAGGTTATCACAATAAATTTCTTGGTAAATGATAATGAAATTTTTAAAAATCGTACTTGTGGTTTATGAATCCGCTTTGAGTTTTTCCCCTGGCATTCAAATTTTCGCAAAAATTCCAATTTGTATAAGAACCGTTTACACCAACGTAAGCGGAAAGAAACGCATCAAAAATAAAAATTCAATACATATTGACTTACAAAAAACATAAATGGTATTAAGTGACTAAACAATCTATGAAATATCAAAAGCGCACAATTATTAAATGCAGCAAGAATAGAGCAGTATACAATATTTAAAACCTGTGCTCATATATATGTGCACATCTATAATTTTGTTCCTTGCCTTTATGACACTACCATAAATTTTTGATAAAATTACAGTCCTGTTTTTTTTTGAAACAGTGGCTTAATTTAACGTGATTGTTCTATTCATAACTTATTTAAAAGCCAATTCTGCGACAAGCATTCAGTTCACTCGTGAAGTACGATGGGCAAAGTACAGTTTTCAGAACCCCTAGGATTTTTAATAAAGATGGGATTTAGTCCGTTCCAGACAGGGATTTCGGCATACATAAAGAAATTTGTATATGTTACTATTTACGTATGTGTGGTGACTTCGTCATGCTTGGAGATCCTCACCAATTTTAACAAAGCTACACTTGTACGCGGATTCGAAGTCATATGTATCTACTACCAGGTAAAAAAATATTGTTTATTACAATTCAAAAACATCCGCTTTCAGCTTGGATGGAAATTTTTTGTGCTTTTTAAACACAACAATACACTGAAAAGGCTTGTTGAGGAAAGCAAAGTATTTTGGGAATTGGACGTATTCGGGGATCATCATGAAAACACGAATTCCAAAATTCACAAACTCTTAGGAAAGAGTTTCCAAACATATCGATGGTTGTTATATTTTTCATGTCTACAGTATATAGGGGCTGCGATTTTGACCAACAAATCCATGCTGCTGAGTTATGGTGAGACACAAGGTCTAAACCTACAATTTCGGATTCTTTATTTTATGCTTCACTCTGCATACATGTACATGGTTTTATGTTTCATGCTTGGATTTGACGGACTATTTTTTTACATAATCGCCCACATTTTGTCGGAGTTGAAGATGGTTAAAGCTGCTTTTGGAAATTCACCGATCCCAACACAATGGAACAGCGAAAAAAGATTTAGAATGGCAACTAAACACCATAGATTTGTACTAAAGCATGAAGTAGCATTTGGAATTCGTTATCAACTATTTATGTGTGACTCATTTTAGGTTTACTGGAGATTTTGATCGTGTTTATTCACTGATGCTTCTACATCAACAGTTTTGTTTTACTTTTGGTCTTTGTTTCGGTTCTTATCTTTTGACCGAAAATGGGTAAAGTTCGAAAATTTATTTTGATTTTGGTTTTAATTTAGTTTATTTTAGGCTGCGCCCAAGCCTGGAACAACTGACAAAATATGTGCCTTACATAATTTGGTACTTTTTGCAAGTATGGATGTACTGCTTTGTGGGCGAACTCATCTCTTCTTGGGTAAGCTATAGTTTAGCACTCAAAATGGACAAAAACGGGTAATTGAAATCAAATTTGAAGTTGTCGTTGTTTTTTATTAAAAATTAAAAAATTCTATCCGATCTGGTCCAAATCTTGTTGACTTGTAGTATGTATGATTTTTCAGTCATTTGAAATTTCCGATGAAGTATTCTACCAAAACTGGCCTCTAAATAACGCCTACCAAAGTAAACTGGACAAGATTATAATACTACAAAGATCACAACTCCCCGCTTGTTTAACACTAGCCGGTCTACGAAACTTGGACTTGAACAATTTCACAATGGTATTTATTATTTCACATATAGTTAAAAACATATTATTATATTTTTTTAGGTGGTTAAACATGCATCATCGTTTTTTACTTTTGTGAATACTGTTGTAAATCAATAATGCTACCTAGAAATACACTGCTTTGTTTAGCTAGAACCTAACCGTTTAATATTTGTCATGTAAATGCAACAAAAAATAAATTCTAAATGATCAAAACGGATATTTTTTCTAGTCCATGTCCATATGATCGAGAACATTTTGGTTCAGAGTTGACTATTTTTCAGTTTTAACCGACAAAATGACGAAACTGAAGCAACTCCTATAAATTTACAATGCTTTATTAGCATTTCAGCAAGAACACTTATGTCAGTTCCGACATGTG